CTCAGCCTATAGTGTGATCTTAAAACAACACTGAGCTGCTAAACAAAGTAAGCTTTAAATGACACTGTACTCAATTAGTGTGAGCTTTAAATGACACTGTACTCAATTACTGTGAGCTTTAAATGACACTGTACTCATAAACAGTGAGCTTTGAACAACACTGTACCTACTAAAGTTGCGTGCAAACAGTGAAGAGTATATTTGTCCATCAGGGTGGACATATGTCCTTCTCCTCAATTATCACGAGTCCCAGCAAAGTGTGCTTTCTTTCCTTTCCTGTGTTTTTGTATGGTTTCGCCATTAGTGGCAACATACAGATTAATATAAATTAAAGCTGCAAGCAGCTTTCGGCGGGACCTCGCACTCCACGCAATCGGGGTGTGTTGCAGCCACGTCATGTGCTGCCGTAACACGTGCGGACCAAAACATGACAATTTCACATAAATCACATCAAAGTTGCCACACAGCGCTTACTATCAAACGGGAAGTTTCATTGAGATTTGACATTGTACACTGAAGTTATGAGTCATATCTTTTTATAAGCATCTTCTGACCAATTAAAGCTGATCTAATCAACCTGTAAGAGGAGCAGTATAAAAATATCTCTTCCTATTGCCAATAGGTGGCACTATCACTATTACTGAATATGATCACATAGATGTGACTCTTATCATAAATAAATATATCAACCATATGTCACATTTTGTGACCACATTTGAGCTGGATCTGATCAACCTGATCGAGCCATTTTGACAGACCCACAGGCAACATCCATATGAAATATAAAATGCTGCCATGTGGGACGTGTGTGCCAAGTTTCATTAGTGTGGTGCGCCTGTTTAGTCCCCACAAAATGCGATCAAACGTTAAAGCAACAAGGTGATGCTCACTGTGTCGCTACGGCAACATGGTCCAATAAAAATTCATAAGATTCATAAGATGTCAACATTCTAAGGGTCTTCTGACCAAATTTCAGCTAGATGTGGTTAGTCTGCTGGGAGAAATACATTAAAGTGTAATAAATTCCACCACTATGTGGCGCTCTCACTATTAGTGGATATTATCACATAGATGAGTTCAGGGCGGGACTCTTAAAAGACAAGTGCAGTTTGGAGCCAAATGGACAATGTACACTCAAGTTATAGTGTTTTGTGGCGGTAGATCAAAATTTGACGCCACGCCACAGACTCACCACATTCATGAAGTTTCACATCAGATCATGTACGCAGAAGTTATGACAACTTCCTTTTTCATGGCGAGTTGTTGAAATTGGACGCCACACCACGGGCATGCCATTTGACGCACAAATTTGAATCGTCAAGCTGCTCAGTCCCCTAGGAGGAGTTTGTTAAAATGCAACGGCGAAAATTGCCAGAAATTACCACGGAATCCAAAATGGTCGACTTCCTGTTGAGTTTGAGGTATGGGTCCAAAAGGCTTTTCTGCTTCTTTTATCACAATATCACTTCCGTGGAATAATTGGACATTGTGGTCAAAGGTGCGCTCACCTTTGCTCACGCAGTAAAAGGCAGGAGGAGAGGGAAACGTGCCGATGCGCTTGTGTCTTCGCCAGCGCAGACATCGCACACTGTTACTTGGGATATTCCTCTCCAACGTGCGTTCACTGTGCAACAAAATGGACAAATTTCAGCTACTTCTGGGGAAAAACAGTGACTTTTCTTCATCCTCTGTTTTATGCTTCACGGAGACGTAGCTGGGTGGATCGATACCGGACTCTGTGCTGCAGCTGGCAGGCTTCCAACTCCTCAGAGTGGATCGTGACACGGAACTCTCCGGCAAATCGAAGGGCAGAGGTATCTGTTTTTATATCAGCAGTAGCTGGTGCAATGATGTGACAGTGATCCAACAGCAATGCTCTTCTACTATGGAATATTTAATCATAAACTGCAAACCTTTTTACTCCCCCCGTGAGTTCGTTTCATTCATTCTGGTCGGTGTTTACATTCCACCGCACCTGCAGGACGCACAGCGCATGCTTGCTGACCAGATACTGTGTGTGGAGTGGACTAACCCGGACTCCTTAGTTATTGTTCTTGGTGACTTTTACAAAGGAAACCTCAGTCACGATCTTCCTAAATACAAACAGTTTATTAAATGCCCGACCAGAGAGAAAAACACACTGGATCACTGTTACACTACAGTCAGCAGAGCTTATCACGCTGTCCCCCGTGCCAAACTGGGCCTCTCTGACCACGTCATGGTCCACCTGATTCCTTCATACAGGCAGAAATTAAAACTCTGTAAACCTGTTGTGAGGACATTAAAGCAGTGGTCCATTGAAGCTCCGGAGGATCTCCCGGCGTGTTTGGACTCTACGGACTGGGATGTTTTCAGGACTGCTACTGAAAGTCTGGATGAGTACACAGAGGCTGTGACATCATACATCAGCTTCTATGAGGACTGCTGTATACCATCACGCACCAGGGTGAGTTTTAACAACGACAAACCCTGGTTCACAGCCAAACTCAGACAGTTATGGTTGCAGAAGGAGCAAGCGTTTAGGAGTGGAGACAGGGACAAGTTTAAGGAGGGGGGTGAGAGAAGCTAAACGACACTACTCTGAGAACCTTCAACATCAGCTCTCAGCCAACGACTCTGGTTCTGTCTGGAAGGGGCTCAGACAGATAAAAAAACTACTGCCGCTTCGACAGACAAAGGAGCAGTCCTGACACCTTCCCCCGTGACACCCCTCGCCTACAGAGCCACCAGGTCTATAGATGATGCAGTTAACATGGCCCTGCACTTCACCCTCCAGCATCTGGACTCCCCATGAACCTACGCCAGGATCCTGTTTGTGGACTTCAGCTCTACGTTTGACACCATCATCCCAGCTCTGCTACAGGACAAGCTCTCCCAGCTTACTGTGCCTGACTCCACCTGCAGGTGGATCACAGACTTCCTGGCTGACAGGAAACAGCACGTGAAGCTGGGGGAAAATGTCTCTGACTCCCAGACCATCAGCACTGGTTCCTCCCAAGGCTGCGTTCTTTCTCTGCTACTCTTCTCCCTGTACACCAACAGCTGCACCTCCAGTCACCAGTCCATCAGGCTACTGAAGTTCGCGGATGACACCTCCCTCATTGGGCTCATCTCTGGTGGAGATAAGTCGGCCTACAGATGGGAGATTGACCATCTGGTGACCTGGTGCAGCCAGAACAACCTGGAGCTAAATGCTCTAAAAACAGTGGAGATGGTTGTGGACTTTAGAAACAACCCAGCCCAACCCGCCCCCATCATCCTGTGTGACTCCCCAGTTGACTCTGTGGAGTCCTTCCACTTCCTGGGTACCATCATCACCCAGGACCTCAAGTTGCAGCCCAGCAGAGGATGTACTTCCTGCGGCAGCTGGGGAAGTTCAACCTGCCAAAGACGTTGATGGTGCACTTCTACACCGCCATCATCGAGTCCATCCTCACCTCATCCATCACCATCTGGTATGATGCTGCCACTGACAAGGACAAGGGCAGACTGCAGCGCATCATTCATTCCGCTGAGAAGGTGATCGGCTGCAACCTGCCATCCCTCCAGGACCTGTACGTCTCTAGGACCCTGAGGCGTGCAGGCAAGATTGTGGCTGACCCCTCCCACCCCGGCCACAAACTCTTTGACCCTCTCCCCTTTGCAGGAGGCTACAGTCCATCAGGACCAAAACCTCTCGCCACAAAAACAGTTTCTTCCCGTCTGCAGCTGGCCTTATCAACAAGGCCGGGACCCCCAACTGTCACTGACTCTTATACCCACCCTGTATATATGCATAACATTGGTGCACTCCCGTCTTCTATACAGTTTTCCTATCTTTTCTTATCTTTCTTATCTTTATCTATATTTTTTAAAAAGTACTTTATTCTTGTGTGATTTTTGTGTGACTTGTATAATTTTGTGTGATTTTATATATTTATCTTTTTATTTTTTTGTGTGATTGTATATTTTAAGCACCATTGCACCAAGACAAATTCCTCGTATGTGTAAAAACCTACCTGGCAATAAATCTCATTCTGATTCTGATTCTGATACACGTGTACCGGTTTTCGTACATCAGCCTTACGTGTCTTGGGGGCTGATTCTGAGGGGGCGGGGCTCCGCCATTTGGAGGTGCCTGTACACGAGGACCATTGCATACGTCAAATTCTCGAACGATTTAATTTTGTGCACATTTTCCTGCTTTTTCAAGCATGTTGCAACCACCAAATATGCAGTCGAAGACGGAGTAAATAATAATAATTCCTAGAGATACAATAGGGCCATACATACATACCATTTTAAGCAGTAGCTTACTTAAGACCATGATATGTTGTGATTACATCACAGCTAAGAAGGTTCTTGGCCCTCCGCTTTGCGTCAGCAGTTTTAAAATGAAAGCAATCTCTGTTCAGACAAGCATTTTTGTACAGTTTCTGAAACAATCTCTGTCCATACAACACACCTGAAAATGCTTATCCCTTGACCATGCACTGGGCATGTGCATGCGGTTCACAAAATTCACACAGATAATGCGATAATGCTATTTTCATTTAAACATTGTCTGTCCATACAAATAAATACTTGCTGGGATACTCCAAATGCATCAGCAGTTTTCCAGTGGTGTCTTCCTGTGTCCCTAACCCTAACCCAGGTATCGTTAATGTGCATCTGCGTGCACTTTCATTTTTGTTGTTGCTTCTTCCACTGCACAACAGCTGGAAGCACATACAACAGTCAGCAATGGCTGTAACGTTAATTTGTTATCCATGTTGAGTTAACCACTGGTTTTCAAGGCATGAGTCGCAAACACTTTGTTTTCTTTCGGAAAAGGGTTACGGGACAGGGGTGTGACGAATCAGGGAATGCCATATCATGACAGATTGGGGTGTGATACACACACACACACACGGAACAGTGAGCATGGGAACAGGAGGGAGGGACACGTGAGAGAACTTGGCGCTACATAGACAGAGACTACACACTAGAAAGATGAGGAAAATGAGTGACAGGAAACGTAGTAAAGTTTGGACACATTTTAATGTGATAGACAGTTCAAAGACAGAGTGTAGACTGTGCAAAGTTAAGATTTCATATCGATGAAGCTTTTTGTCTAATTGAGATGGGCCTTTGTTTTTGTATTTTATAATTTATTTTTGTAGCTTACATTTTCTGTCAAAATGTAAGTCTGACATGAGACCAAATCACAATAAGACTGAGAACCACTTTTGGATAGCGACCAACTAGTTGAGAAAGCAGGGACTAAACGATTTTTTTATACAGAGAAAAGGGTTAAAGTTTTTTTTGTTATACCCCAAACTTCCATCCATTTGAAGATAAATTAAAGCAGTTGGACTGGAATGACGTTGTGCATGTTAATTAATGTTATATATTATATATTATGATGATCAAATGACTTTATGATGATCAAAGAGACTAAAAATTAATTTTGTACACTCGGATAAAAAATATAATTTGCCAAGGTTAAATAAGCATCTTTGGAGGTTTATGTAACCGAAAGATTGAACATTGAAGGCAACTCTTAAATTTAAAAAAATAACCACATGATAGGAGAAAATTCATTGCAAATTAAAGAAGTAAATTATCTGAGATGGACCAAAGCTGATTATTTAACTTATATTAAAAATAAAAATATAATAAATAACTCATTAATGAGTGCATGGGAAATTGTAAATGAATTAAGAAAAATATTAATACAATTACGAAGAAGGAGGCAAATTAGTTCAAATTGTGGACTATAAAGGAACATTCAAAAGTGAATTCATTCATTCTTTGTGGATTCAGTACAGTAATAAACAGAAAATAATTAATTTCCTGTTTTTCAAAATTGGAAATGTCTCAGAATATGCAGTAATGAAAACACCCGATTCCTTACGTCTAAGATTTATTTTTGAATTAGAAGTCGATAATATTTAAGCCTTTATCTCATCTTATATATCTCAATAACAAACTCCTATTTTCCTTCTTCCTGTAAAGCTGCAGTAGTGACCCATGTCTTCAAATCAAGTGAAATAACTATCTGATAAATTACAGACACATTAATAGCTTCCAACAATGTAGAAAAGGTAGTCTGTGATTAGCTAGTCTTTATATTAATCATGACATTTTAATATAGGTGAACTATAAACAAATCCTTAAAGTAGGATGAAAATATTTAGTAATTTTCTTTTTTCTGGAACTGATTTAGAGATTATTGGTTGGTTTCTGTATTTAGCTTTACAGCTGCAGGGTTTGCAAAAGACTTGTGTGGACTTCTGGTCAATGCATCTCATATTATTATAGTTCATTTAAACTAGATACTTTGTCATGTGGATTGGTAAGCTCATTAAACTTTGACTGTAACTTTGTAACATAGTGTCACTGTGGTTTGGAGTTGAGTTTCCCCTGTTACTAACCAAACTAATCTAACTACATAGTATTCTCACCTTGTCCTGTCCTCTTTCCTTCTCGTGCTATTGGAGCTGCATTATATATACACACCAATCAGCCATAACATTATGACCACTGACAGCTGAACACTGACTATCTTGTTATCATGGGACCCATTAGTGGGTGGGATATATTAGGCAGCAAGTGAAGATTCTGTCCTCAAGTTGATGTGTTAGAATGAGGAAAAATTGTCATAATGATCTATGTATATTTATATATATATTTCTGTGTTGAGCTCATACACCTCTAAGCTGGCACAACCCAGAACAGTTAAATGAGTTGTAAGAGGCTGAGAGGGTCTTCACTCAGAGTAAGACACAGAGTCTGCTGTTGAAATCGTTTGCAGGTATGTTGTGGCTGTTTTTGTTGATCTCATAGGGCTGGGTGATGTCCCAGGCAAAGGGAGCTATCATGTCTAAGCCGTTGGGGTCTGGGGAAATGACTCCATCTGAGGATGTGTCTCTCCACTCAGTCTCAGTTCTCACATCAGGCTCTTTGTCAGGCTCTAAATGAAAGGGACATTTTTTAAGTTTTCGGATTTAATAAACCATTGTACTCATACAAACAACTCAAAAGTCTAATTAAGGACAAACATACACAGCAAAATAGATATTGCTTCAGAAAGTATTTCATTCACTTTTTAAGTTTTGCAGCTAAACAGTATGCTGAAGTGATCCTCATAATGGTGCAATGCCATGATGAGAATGATTAAGAAATATAGTGATATATGCTAGAAAGATAATCGTAGGAAAATTTACTACTAAACCAAGTAATAAAGAAGTAACATTCACATTTATCAAACGGTCCAGAGTGGACACTGAGCTACATCACATGAACAAGGTACATATTTCATGTAAACAAAAATATTTCATATGAAGGCTCCCTTATTTTATTGGTGCTTTGCACAATAATGTGTGAATTTCCTGCAGCACTTCTGAGCGGGTATTAAAGATTTAATAAATAACATGCAGGCTTCTTAGACTTTTATTGCTCACATATAAGATTGAAACTATGAAATCAGTGAGGTATTGCAGCGCTTCGGTTCCGATCTTGAAGGGCTGCTTGCTATAAGTTTTGCAAACCAGCAGATGTCACTTTTCTGTTTTGTGTAGCTATATATGTATATGTGATGGCTGGACATAAAGAGGACAATGTTCATAGAGACTTCAGTCAAAAAATCCATCTGAAACTATCAAAGTGAGGGGGACATAACAAATGAGGAAATCCAGTGCCAATCATGTCCTCGATCCTGTTGTACATGACAAATCCACATCTTAATTATAAATGCTTCCTACTTATTAAAGGACCAGTGTGTAGGATTTAGTGGCGTCAGATTGCAACTAACTGAACACCGCTTGTGTTTGTATTTGATTATCTATATTCAGGTGTACACACACATTATACACCAATGAAAACATTCTGCTACTTCTATTTCATTTCTGCCAACAGCAATTATTAAGATTTTTTGAGATTATAATGAGTTTGTTTCGTTTTTCTAAAATTTAAGCATGTTATTTTAAGATAAAAAAGCTGTCTGTTATGTATTTTATTTTCAATTGCATTCTTATTTTACTTGTAATTAGAAAATAACAAATATATTATGTATTATTAGATTACTTATAATTTATAGTCCCTCCAGTTCAATTAGAAAACTGACAAAAAATATTCTTAAAAATATATGTAGTTTTTTATTGATTACATAAAGATGTTGATTCAACTACTAGATAATATATATGGCACTGATTTAACACTAGTTAGACATTATGATGTTTGCAACAAATCACCTACTGAGTGTATATTGTATACACTATATGGACAAAAGTATTCGGCCACCTGACCATTATACCAACAGGGACTGTAATGACATTATATTCAAACACATATACTTTAATATGGAGTTGGTCCCCCTTTTGCAGCCATACCAGCTTCCACTCTTCTTGGAAGGCTTTCCACAAGATTTTGTTTCTGTGGGAATTTGTGCCCATTCATTCTGTAGAGCATTTATGAGGTCAGGCACTGTTGTTGGACGAGAAGGCCTGGCTCGCAATGTCCATTCCAGTTCATCCGAAAGGTGCTCGATGGGGTGGAGGTCAGGGCTCTGTGTGGGCCAGTCAAGTTCTTCCACATCGAACTCATCACAACATTTCTTCATGGACCTTGCTTTGTGCGCTGGGGCCTTCCCCAAACTGTTGCCACAAAGTTGGAAGCATAACATTGTCCAAAATGTCTTGCTATGCTGAAGCATTAACATAGCCCTTCACTTGAGAAAAGGGGCCTAGCCCAAACCCTGAAAAACAGCCTCATACCATTATCCCTCTTTCACCAAACTTCACAGTTGGCACAATGCAGTCAGGCAGATAACGTTCTCCCGGCATCAGCCAAACCTAGACTCGACCATCTGACTGCCAAACAGAAGTGTTATTCGTCACACCACGGAACACAATTGCACTGCTCCATAGTCCAGTGACGATGCGCTTTACACCACTCCATTCGACGCTTGGCATTGGACTTGATGATGTGAGGCTTGCATGCAGCTGCTCAGCCATGGAAACCAATTCCATGAAGCCCCCATCGCATAGTTTTTTGCGTTCACATTAATTCCAGTGGAAGTTTGGAACTCTTCAGCTATGGAATCAGCAGAACGTTGGCAATTATTACGCACCATGCTCCTCAGCAGTTGTTGACCCCGCTCTGTAATTTTACATGGTCTTCCGCTTCATGGCTGTGTTGCTGTCGCTTCCACTTTCTAATAATATCACTTACAGTTGACCGTGGAATATACAGAAGGGATGAAATTTCACGAACAGTCTTATTGTAAAGGTGGCATCCTATCACAGTACCACACTTGAAGTCCCTGAGCTCTTTAGAACGACCCATTTTGCATCACAAATGTTTGCAAATGGAGACTGCATGGTTAGGTGCTTGACTTTATACACCTGTGGTTTGATTGGGACACCTGAATTCAAGAATTAACAGATGTGGCCAAATACTTTTGTCCATATAGTTAATATACTCTCTATAAACCATTACATCATGAGAGTGACAGCTGCCACACCTTGATGGTGGAACCCTTTGTTATAATTTTCCATGTATTGTTATTTACCTTTTTGAAGGTCTTCCCTGTAAAGACCAGTCCCTCCAACCTTTCTTCCCATGATGCTATCTTCTGACACCAACAGGTTCCCCAACAGGAAGTAAGTGGTCATCTGGCCTTTACCCTTCACCTCAATCTGCCCACGCTCTTGTATGTTGAACCCTGCATCCTTCAACTCACTGAAAAGGGATGGGGGTGGGAAGAGCAGTTGAGTGGGGGCACACAGAGGGACACAGAAGTGTAATAAATTAACAGTAACAATTGCCACTGTACTTGCCATTTCCACAGGAACGCATTTTCAGTACGTGCATCAATTTACGTGCATGCATGTATGACAGGTGTGGGACATTTTCTATAGTTAAAAGTGCAATGTGTAATCCTGGCCATTTGGCCAAAATTAATAGTAGGCAGCCTCCCCATCCTCAATGCAGTGACACTGTTTAAGACTGTTCACAGTTAGGGGCAGAATAAACCTTGCACTGTCCTCAAGGTATGTGTATACATATATGACATATGTCATATATGTCATATATAGCAAACTTTCCAAACTTCCAATTTTCCCTCATCGCATTACAGTAATGCCAAGTTGTTACAATATGATTTGTGTTTATTTGCGTACTCACCTGATTAACTATGGTCTGCTACTACTATGAACCACTACCAGCTGGGCCAAATTTACAGCTGTGCATTGTATTCATAAAATAAAAAACATAGACACCATGTCTCTTAAATATGAGTTATTACAAGAAAGTTTGAAGTAGCCTAGTTATGAGTCATTGCTAATTACTAGGTTATAGATAAGAACGTGAGCTTAATTTGCTTATTTCCTTCTTAGTATGAAAGACTGGGAAATATTAATGCTATTTAATGTGGATGGCATTAATATTAACAGGTACAGGCAAGTTGTTGGGATTGTTGTCCTGCTGTAAGACACTGTGGTCAAGGCAGCCGAAATTTGCGTTTATGTGGTCAAATCAGTCTTCTTTGTATTGAAGTACACAAGTTATCTAACATTTATGGTAATAGCAATGACACAGCTCTGGGGAAATGTTGGTAGTGACTATAATAGTCTCATAATTATGGGACAGATAACCTCTTTTAAGGCAGTATTGTGCTGGACCATGATAGAGGAGACACAACAGGAGCAGACCTGCATAGACTTCAGGAAGCAGGCTCAGTTGTGTTTATTAAGTGTGATTATTGTGTGTGCAGCAGTCAAAAGAATAAAGTCGTCTTGTTCAACAATCCCTGTGGTTGGTCTATGTGCTGGGAGAACCCTTGTTAGTAGCAAGTCGTGCTACAGTAGTGTAAAGTGCTTTGAGTCGTCAGAAGACTAGAAATTTGTATTCTACCTGTGGAATTAAGTGTTACAGAGTTAAGAGTCCCTGCCTCTGTTGTGGGTCACAACAGTTCGCTGGGGGTGATACACCTGCATGCACACACACACACCTGTATGTGGAAGAACTGAGGTGAATGTGGTCAGGGAGTCCATGACTTTCCATCCTGGAGGCAGTGTTAACAGTGTCTCCAAACAGGCAGTAGCGAGGCATCTTCTCCCCTACCACCCCAGCTAACACTGGACCAGTATGGAGACCCACACGAATCTGAAACATATGTCACACCATGTCAGCACATACATTTTAAGTGGAGTACACAAACACAATAATGGTCTTCATTGTTATATAAACCAGTAGCAAATGTGGCATCCTCTCAAGCCCTGCTTGTTGCTTCTGTTATTATATTGTTTTAGGAGGCAGGAAGTGTGTTGATGCTCATCTGGATACAGAGTTTACCTGAGCAAGCTGCTTGACTGTCTTCCAGTTTGGTTTTACACTAGTTGCACACAGTTACCCACCCAAAACCTCATAGTGACTGTCCCCTGACAACCTTAACTATTTAAAGATAAAGTGTTAAACATAAAAACCTAATAAAAATTTTTACCAAACTGCAGTAGCACAAAAAAATGAATTAAATGCAGACTATTAAACATCAGGTCTCTGTCTTCTAAAGCTAAGATTCAAGATTCAAGAGGTTTATTATCATATGTACAGTAAGAAACACAAGGTTTGTACGTAGAATGAAAGTCTTACTTTGGCCGACTCCCTGAGGCAACACACAAGTAGAAGAATAAAATATAAACATAGAACTTACAACTTAAAGTGCAGAACATTGTACAGTAAACAAAGAAACCTGAGTAGTACGCTGTTCTAGTTAATTAATTAATATCAGATAATGATATAGATTTACTATCTTACTGAGTCCTGGCTGTGTCATGAAGAATATGTATCTAAATAAATCCATTCCCCCCAGTCAAATTAATACTCACATTTCTTAAAACACCTGCTTGTCTGTACCTGGACAGCAGATGACTATCTGATAGTGCTGTAGCTAAATGTAAGGAGGAGATTCCATGTGTATTTATTTCAATGTCATGTCTCAATATAACAGAGGACTCCTGTGATAACCTTAGTCCCTTCCAAATTGATCATCTTGTTATAGTGCTGCAGGCTCACTGTGAACAACACTAGACTGTATTGCCCCTCTAAAAAAGAAGATATTAAAACATAGGAGGTATAATCAGGAAACCTGCCAATTAATGGAAATTTGAAAGGAAATGCCGTTCTACCAAGCTGGTAGAATCACGTTCAATCTGGCAAGATAATCTTGAAAACATACAGAGGCCCTCCATAATGCCAGAGCAGCTTATTATTCATAGAATAATAGAGGAAAATAAGAACAACCCCAGGTTTCTCTTCAGGACTGCTTCCCTCAACCTGCTGCCCCAGCAGACAACAGCAAACAGGATAGCACTGGCCACCACAGAGTCCTAGAACATCCTCAGCATGGTCCGACAGATGTTGAAGCCGCCTCAGAAAATAGAGGTGGCTTTGGCCCTTCCTGTACAGGGCTTGATTGTTCTTAGCCCAGTGTAGTTTATTTTCTGTGTGAACTCCCAGGTACTTGTAATCCTCCACAGTGTCTACACTGACCCCTTGGATGGAAACAGAGGTCAGTGGAGCCTTGGCCTGTCTCAGGTCCACAACCAGTTCCTTAGTCTTTGTCATATGGACCAGTCAGTCAGTCAGTCAGACAGACCATAAAAATGTAGTTAAATAATTAATTATCTGACATGATTAAAAATTCTTACCTGTATGGGTTTGCCTGTCACAGGGTTGGTGACCTCTCTGGCTGCTATTCTCATACCCAAAGCGAAATTTGCCACTCTGTGAGAATGGGTTTCTGTCGGGACTGGAACGCCACCCACCACCATGTATGCATCACCAATAGTCTCTACCTTTGAGAAACCAATAAACCCCCAAAACAATTCAAACAATATTTGATTGAGCAACGTGAAATTCTTTTAACCTCTTAATGCAAAATCACCTATCATATTGCGATGCTAATTAATATCTCAAGGAACCTCTTATCTCTCTTATCTTTATTTTTGCCATCAATGCTGAATCTTTAGTTTAATGATGAAAGTTCAAATGGGTTCAATGAGGAATTTGAAAGAATCCAGATTTAAAAAGCAAGCAACTACTACACAGGTAAATTTAATTAAAAGAGGAACTTTAGTGCTGAACGGTGGGGGAGAACCCCTTACAAAGATCAGGACAATATAAAAACTATACTGTAGACATGAAAATCTGAGTAAGCACAGGTGGGAAATGGCAGAAAAGGCAACCTTATCCAGTACAAGAGTGCAATCTAGCTTCAACACAATAGCTTTCTTTTTTGACCATAAATAGCCTTTCATAACTTCATCTAGAAATATTTAGAAACATTTCAGCCATTGGAATATCCAACCCAAACCTCATTCAAAGAGGACAAATGTAACAGGTGGGATAATACCTTGTAGATGTCATGTATATTGGTGAGTCTGTCGAACTTGGAGTACATGGAGTTGAGCATATGAACAATATGGATGGGCTCACAAGCAGCGCAGATGTTCGTGAAGGTCACCACATCACTGAACAAAATAGTGCACACCTCAAAGTCCCCTAAAAAAAAAAAAAAAAGACACTTTGACAGAGCAACAGACAGATTTTAGACATAGACCACTTGATTGATGGACAGACTGACCTGCTTTTACACTTTTCCCATCTTTAAGCTGATTGGCTATGTGGCGGGGCAGCATGGCATACAGCAGAGTTTCTGTCTTGTGTTTTTCAGCCTCTAGGTGCTGCGACAGGATTCTCAGTTCCTCCTACACACACACACACACACACACACACACACACACACACACACACACAAAATAAATTATATTTCCCTACCAGTGAAAAGACTAAAGCATAACTACTGTACAAATTTCAGATTTAAATTGTAAATCAACACAAACTGCAAATAGGCTAGGAGAAGTGATACAACTGGGTGTAACAATTTTGTGCAATGTGGCACAATCTGAGACTGCGGATCAGTTTATTGAGTCTGTTAGCATCTGCTACCCTCAACCAGCCACCCCAGAAGACAACAGCAAACAGGATAGCACTGGCCACCACAGACTCATAGAACATCCTCAGCATGGTCCGACAGATGTTGAAGGACCTCAGCTGCCTCAGAAAATAGAGACGGCTTTGGCTCTTCCTGTACAGGGCTCGAATTAGACTTTCTAATAATAACTGACTCTGAATCAGCTGCTATAACACTATAATTTCCGTTCATCTATCTATCTATCTATCTATCTATCTATCTATCTATCTATCTATCTATCTATCTATCTATCTATCTATCTATCTATCTATCTATCACAATGTGGCACAATTGGAGACTAGACCATGTACGCTGTTATGACAACTTCCTGTTACATGGCAATATATTATATGACTTTAAATTGCAGTGGCCAAATTTAAAGCCGATCTGATGAATTCCCTAGGAGGAGTTCATTAAATTACAACGCTTGCAAGTAAGAGCACTTAATTCTAAAAGGCCAACTTCCTATTGGATTTGGGGTATGGGTCCAAGAGGGTTTTTTTCGTATGTCTGGACATGATACATGTGCCTATCAATGTTCATACATCTGGGTGAAACATGCCGCCAGGGGCGCTATAGACCCATTTTACCACACCCATGCAGACCAAACTCAAATGTGACAATATATGACTTTTGACATTGTGTGGCAATTTTTGTGAATTTAAATAAGTAAATAGCAACATTTGCCTTGTTCCCACGGCAACAGTGTCAAGATTCATAACCTGTCAATATCAATGTCTTAAGGGTCGTCCGACCAAATTTTTATTTTATGTGGGACCAAATAAGTACGTACATTTTCACCACTACTTAAGTTTGCGCAGAGTTTCATGAGTTTTCAAGCATGTTAAGGCCATCAAAAATGTGATTAATTTACTCACTACACTCTTTTCAGTTGGCATAGTTAGATTGCTAGTGAGATTTAAAACTTAATTCTAATTCGATGTTAATAAACTAATAAACTAGTCTTGATGAACAAAAAGCATTCAACAGGGCTAAATGGGATTTCCTATACACTTAAAGTATTCAGATTTAATTTTATTATTATGAAGTGGATAAAAACTATTTATTATAATCCAAAATCTAATTATCTTACTAATAGGGGTTAAAAAAAGGAAACTATCTGTTACTATTTGCCCTCCATTAGTTCAGCTAAAACACAGATACCACACAGAAACCTTTACAAAAGTCAGTGAAAGGGCTTTCGAGTAACTGTAAAAGCTTCAGCGGACTCTCTGTTTCCAGCATGGACATGGCGAGTCTGACAGCAGCTGCTCATGGTTGGTTAGCTCTGACTACCAGGTTGCTGTTTCAGCTACACTGCTGTGGTCAGTCTGTCAATTAGGGCTGCACAAGATGATAAAAACTCTATCATAATGTGATCATTATAAAAGATATTGCAATTGCGATTCACGATAATGTGGAAATGATCATTTTTGAGGCGAAATTGAATTTTCACAAAAAAAAACTATTTAAACCATGATGAAGTAAATTTAGGGTGGTCTGTACCATAAAAACGTGTTTTCTTAAGATTAATATGCTGCTGTTAAAGGGGAACTTGGCAACTCTAGCCATTTCTTCGCTGGTTTTCACTTTTGTTGTCCCATGTTTTCTCAACGAGCTCCCCCTACAGCTCTGGGACGTGTATTTTAAAACACTGTCGTAAAAAAACTCACTTGCGGCACCCTCCTCCCCCTTTCTACCGCTGCTGATGTGCATTTGTTGCTGGGCAACTTTTTTGTGTGGAGCAATGTCTACAGAGGTGGGTAATACATTCATCATCGCTTGTTCTTATAGCCCGCGTGGCTAATCGGTATTGAGGGGGGCGTGTGCGTTTATGTGGAATTGCCGTAAAGCAGTTTGTGTTTCTCGCTCGTTCTCGCTTCTCACGATACTTCCTATTTCCAACTTAACAGGAGGGTAGTCCCAAAGTTGCAAGGTTGATTTTCCGCCTGGGGATGCTAGGGTGAGCGGGGAAAGTCACCATTTTCACTGGAACAGGCCATTTAACCATCCAAATTATTTCTAAACGGGTTTAGTAAGTTGAAATAATTGCCAAGTTCCCCTTTAACCCTGTTGTTTACCTTCATCAAAAATTACAGCTCTCGCAATTGGCATATTGCTTCTATGATTTGCATATTTCACTTGGTCATATTGCGATTAAGATAATATTTCGATTAATTGTGCAGCCCTACTGTTAATCACTCCGGCTGGAATCGAGGCCATACCCCCTAAGAGTCACTGTGTTAAAGCTAGGGAGCAAGCAGATTTGAAGGGTGTAGTTACACTTTAAATACTGAAACAAATAAAAACTAAACCAAAATGTTTCATTAGGGCCAGAGCACTGACCATGCGAAAGCCCTATTGTAATTGAAGGAATTCTTCTTTTTCTTTTTCCTCCTATACAAACGCATATTTGGAGGCTTTCCTGTGCTCGAAAACTGGAATAACGCAGCGCCCATGTCAGTCGTGGCAAAAAAATTTATGTTCTATGCGTCGCTTTTGGGTTGGCCACTAGGTGGCGCTACTATCATTAAAAGTGCGTTTAGGCTTAATTTTGGCAAATAACATCTGCATCGTTTGTCGCACATTCAAAAACCTTACATCCACGCTTGAAAGGAGCTGTAGCTCCCCATAAAGGCCCCCCCCACTTACGCCCTATTTTTTTTCCTGCTAGAGCGCGAAATGTCCATAAACTACTTTTCCATGTTTCTCCTATGCACTTTGTCCGATTCGCACAAAACCTTGCACGTAGCATCTGGGGACCACCTTATTAAAAAAAGTAATTTGAACATTTTTAAAATAAAAAAAAAGCACACTATAAAATTAAGACTTCCTTTAGATTTTTCGGCAAAAAGGAAGTGGACCATTTCTCCACATTGGTATGTCCGAATGACACCAAGCGTGGGTCCAGAGTTCCTCATGTCTTCCTTAGGCATCATGCGTAATTTCAGGTCAATCACCACAAGGTGGCGCTCTTTAAAATGAACAAGTTTATATCTCCGCATCGGCACAAGTGATTGAAACGAAACTTTGCATGATGATTGCCCATGTCTCCCTGAGGCTCACTAAAAAATGTGTCAACAATCCACTACTAGGTGGCGCTCTGGTGGCAAAAATCGTGTTTGTTGTGTTTGTAGCGCCCCCTACAGTATTTAAAAAAAACAGCTCCAGTGCCACGTTTCACCGATATGTATGAAACTAGGTAGGCACGTGTAGCCTCTTGGACCCATACCCCAAACCCCACAGGAAGTCGGCCATTTTGATTTTCAGTTTCACTTCCGGCGAACTTTTCGCCTTGTATTTGAACAAACTTCTCCTAGGGAATTTATCGGATCTACTTCAAAATTGGTCAGTACAGTCAAAATATGTTGCTGATTAAAAGTCGGCTATTTGTGACTGTACATTGAAGGGCATGTCCGTGGCTTTCTGTCAAAGTTGGCCATTTTGAATTCCGTGGTCATTTTCGGTGAATTTTTCGCCTTGTATTTGAACGAACTCCTCCTAGGGAACTTATCGGATCTACTTCAAAATTGATCAGTACAGTGTGTCTGTGGCGTGCAGTCAAATTCGGCCACGTTGAATTTTGTGGTGTTTTTCAGCGTTTTTTGCATTGTATTTAAACAAACTCCTCCAAGAGAATTTATCGGATCTGCTTCAAAATTGGTCAGTAAAGTCAAAATATGTTGCTGAATAAAAGTTGTGCTATTTGTGCATATACGTTGAAGAGCGTGTCCGTGTCGTGGCGTCAAAGTTGGCCAGGTTGAATCGAATGTCAAACTGTGATGCCATTTCTGGCATTTCGCAGCTCTCAGCGTTTTTTTGCGTTGTATTTGAACGAACTCCTACTAGGGAATTTATCGGATCAACTGCAAAATTGGTCAGTACAGTTAAAAAATATTGAAAAAAGATTTTTTTTGTTTGTTTTCAACAACAAAAACTACTGAAATGAACAAACCCACTCCAGAAACTGAAATCAAACTGAATTGAAAACAGTAACTCTGTTTGCACAGATGGTTGCAAATGGTTGCTCACTTGTTTTACAGCTTTATGTACTCAGAGGTTTCACATACTTATTCAATGTATTAATTCATGTCCGGTCTGGATGAAATCGCTGGCCAAACAAAAGGAAATCAGAGATTACTGTGCCCACATCTTTACAGAGACCTACTCCATCAACATCCCAGATCAAGCACTTGACGTGCGGATTGTGTTCTGAGCCGATAGACCATAGCACAAGAGGAGGCAGACTGTGTTTATTACATCAATGATGCCTGATGATCAAACACAGTCAAAGTAGGTAAACACTGTTTCTCAATGTCGAACTCCTTATATGAAGATGAAACCATTATCATTACTATCATGTTGCTACTATTTACATCCCCCCCAGATGCAAATTCAAAAGATTCACTGCAGAATTATTATTCAATTCAACATAAATGTACTTGATTCCTTGATTTTACATAACATGCTCTGTTTTCATTGAGTCAAGTCAAGTCAGTTAATTTATTTAGCCCTTGTTAAATATATATAGCCCAATACCCTAAACCACGTATTTGACACTGTTACATTTAATTACATCTCCTAATTTAGCATTTCTTTTTAGCTGTTTCTTATCATGTTCATAAACTGGGTTGCCATTTTGTGTAGGAGTCTCACAAAAGACTACATAAAGTAAGAGCTGTTTTCCTACTTTTTTCCTCTCCAGCTGGTTGGTGAGCTCCATCTCAGCTAGACGTTGCTGGTTGAGAAGGACCAGGTCTCTGGTGACATCATGTTGGGCCAGGTCAGACAGGTGGAGGCCAACATCTTGAAGTTCCTGGAGGTTTCGTAACTTTGGAGAACACAGGTACAACATACAGCCAAGAGACTCCATCCACACCATCTGACCTACAGATACATTTAATATGGGTTAACCTATGTTGTTCAGATATTATAGAACTGCTGATGCTGCTTTTGGGTTCAGACAGCACTGCTCAATGATTTTTCTCCGCTCTTTTGTGCTTATTTACTTTTACCCTATTAGTCCCCTGTAGGACATAAGGCCACAATGATCTATCACTGCACATTGAACCTCCCCGAAGTTCGGTTTAAATTGGCTAGCTTGTCGACCAAAGTCCTGTAACAGGGGGGCTCATTTATAAAGGTCGATGTGCAATTCATATTAAAGTTAAGTTGGGACACCACTCGTAAAGAAGTGAAACCTTAGCTAGTAATTGATTGATTTCAGTCTCATAAAAAAATATTAATTTAAAACTGATTCATAATCAAATTAATAACTATAACCAAAATCACCATATCAGTAGCTTAAGTGGAAGGATTTGATATTCTGCATAGAAGAGGCTGGTATCACAGGTGCAAAATTAAATAGGCCAGCATGTATAAAGGCATTTATTAAAAAGATAATAAAAGCAAGAGTGTGTAAGGGTGCGCATGAGGGTTGCACACTGCTGTCTTTGTTCTCCTTGACCATATGAGCATGAGCATCAAACACATGTTGGTCAGAGACAAAAGAACAAGTTTGAGTTACCTCTCCTCGTGTTTGCTGAGGTTGAGGCCAAATTAAGGTGTATGTGTTAGCTTAAGTTATAGCTGCCATGTTAAAAGGGAGTTAGTAGCATGGAAAGACGATGTCTCTGTGAAGCATAACTAACTAACATTAACTATCATCACCTTAAATGTCTCAGAGAGAGATACAGTTATAGCGATAACCTACGTTAATCATATCAACATCACAACATCCTAACCATAATGAAAAACACATTGATTTGCATGTACCTTAACAGAGGTTAACAGTCCTGTGTTAGCCATTCAGACTGTAAACTGTATATTACAGAACCAGTCCGTGAAATGTGGGGGAAGAAGAGTTGCTGGTGTGCTGCGTCCTTCAGCCAGTGGTCTGCCTGTTGTGGATGAGCCAAAAAAAAAGTCCTTGCTGTGCGGTGTTTGCTTGTGCAGGTCACAGGAGGAAAGGCATTTCACTTCGTAGCTTTGTTTCCCTGCAATCAGCGGCTCAGCATTAACTTGCTTGTGTCACTCCTGGAAAGTCAGCTGGCAGGCTTTGTGTCTAAATACGCAGACAGCAACTTCAGTTTCTTTACTCAGGTTAAGGAAAAGGCAGACTCTTGTGCCGCACTTTAATCCTTTCTTGTGTGTTTGTCGGCGGGCCTGGCTGCACCGAGGTGCCTGCACACATATACAGAGTTGAGGACGGAGCACTGTGCACAAAAGTTTTGAGAGTAAATCACCTGTACCGCTGCAGTTGTTGCCATCTTTGACATGTTGTTCTTCATGTGGTATTTAACGGCAGGCTAGACTATTTGTAGGCATTTATGCTACCCCATCAGGTCCTGAAGAATTGCATCCTCGGTACAAGGACCATCGAGTCAAATTTTGGTGCAGCAGCAACCCTCTCTGAGTGGACACCACAGGCATGTGAGTCACAGCAGTTCAGTGAGGAAGTGGTCACACACAGGTAGAGGTAGGCAGTGTGGACTGGTGATGTGCTTGGTTGCTTGGTTTTTCTGTGTAATTCCAAGTTTGTGATCTTGTTAGGCCAGATCTTGTCAGATGTTACATAGCCCTCGCAAGCATCCATTGTGAAAAACCTGAATAATTTTTTATATCAGCTTTAGTTTCCTTGCAGCATTCAGAACCATACTTTAGGATGGACTGCTTGGACCACATAATAAAACACATCCTGGGCATTCTCCAGTCTTGCCTTGATGTCCCTTTGTCTCTCACTGTCGTTGCTGAGAAGGCAAGAATAAGTAAACATAACAGATTGGAAGTAGAACTACAGCACTCAGGTGGAGGTGCTATCACTGTTTTCTCGCAGACATCTCAAAGGGCATATTAATGAATCACTTGAAGGTCCACCTGCACAAAACTGAGATTGTTTCTTCAGGGCAAGGGATGCCCACACTGAGACCTGTTCATCACCGTGACTATACTGTGTTAAATGGTAAATGGACCTGTACTTGTATAGTGCCGTTCTTGTCTTCCGACCACTCAAAGCACTTTTACACTGTGCCACATTCAACCTTTCACACAGTGATGGCAAAGCCCATCAAACGAGCTTAATTCATTCATAAACATTCACACACGGATGCACAGCATCAGGAGCAATTCGGGGTTCAGTATCTTATTCAAGGATACTTCGACATGTGGCGGGAGGAGACTGGGATTGAACCACCAACCTTCCGATTAGTGGACGACCCACTCTTCCTCTGAACCACAGCCGCCCCATTACTCCTGGGTGTGATGATGATGATGAGGATGATGATCCAGGGAGAAAGGGTCACTCATTTTAGTTGAGGCTTCTCTGTGTTCTAGCCCCACTGCAGTCATCACCCATTTTTCCACTTCAGAATGAAAATCACCTTTTCAGACTTCACCGCCACACCCCACACCAGCACATATTGATTCTTTTAAAGCCTTTCTCAAAAAGCATTTTTACTGTATTGGAAGATTAAGTTGATTTGATTAGTTCATTTTTTTAATAATACACCTAACAGTATAGGGTGGTATGTTTATAAAAATGTATAGTGGAGTTATTGGTTAGAACCCACCTCTGAGCTTGAGCGTGGTGTGTTTGTCTTTGTAGCTCTTCAAGACAAATTGACTGTTGATGAATTTCCTGATGCTCCTAATGGTAAAGGTCACCTGGAGGACACAGACAGAGGCTGCACAATACTGGTTTTATTTTACTATTTAGCTTAAAGTTGTAATTTTCAATTCAATTCAGTTCTATTTATGTAGTGCTACTTTTCATGTAGAGCACATATAGACCATACTCCTTTATAAAGCAATTCAATGTATTTACATATAAGAATTACCTCTCTATTATAGTAATTTAAACTGATAGTGGCTGGACGGAAGTCTGCCATTCCCGCACTTAAGGGATTAAAAAAAAAGTGCACACATGTCATCCAAGGTTACTCTTTTCATTTGACCAGATAACTGGTCTACTCACAGATTATTTTAAGAGATTAAGAGACAAATTCCCCCAAATTGAAGGCAAATGTTTTACATGTAATATTTCTTTAAAGGAGATTGGTACAGCTTTTAGTTGAATTCAGACTGATAATATGCATAATTTATTTAACGTTTTGTCACCACTACAGATACACAAAGTAACTGCTAAAGTACAATTATGCTGTTTTACATTAACTGCTGTTAGCTATTAGTTTGATTAATGCTTTAATGTGTGTATTGTTTACTGAAGCTGGCTGATCAGGCAAATTATCAGTATTTTAATTCTAACGGCAGTATGCTGTAAATGGCTGCCATTTGTGCGTGTTTTTGAACTACTTTCCTATTTAAACATGTGCTTGTTAATAATGGTGTTATTAATTACTTAACATAGTTTGGAGACCAGTCAGACTTCTTGAGAAGATACTGTAGTGTGTGACCCCCTGTTGCTGATCAGTCATGTAGTGTGAAAACTACAACATCTTCAAGACTCCTGATTACAAGACTGAAAGTTGTGTAGTATGAATAGTACAGAGATCTGACGACTTTGAAACTCACGTAGTGTGACCATGGTCTTACTGTTCAGTGTTTTCCTCAGCTGATTGTGATATACTACATTTTACACAATCTCACAAGTAGTACATTTTTGAACTCTTAGACCTGTGACTGTATTTTACCTGTGGGTGTATAATGGTGAAGTATTGGTCCAATGTAGCATCTCTGGCCTGAAGACCTGGAACAAACTTTTGTATGTTCACACCTGTCTGCCTTACTTTCAGCTGATAGACAGGACAGAGACGAGAAACAAAGAAAGACAGATACGTGGTGGAAACACAAGGTATCAGGATTCTATAGGATGAGGTTCAACAAAAACACAAATATTTTCAGTGTGTCAATTAATTTGATTTAAAAAGATATACTCATGGAGTATATTTTACTGCAAAAGTGGCTTAATTAACAGATATTGTATATATTAATAAAAAAAAATGCACAATAAAACCACGCTGAATGGGAGAGGATACACCTGGACTCATGTCATCATTTTATGTAATTTCATGATGCAAGCTCTGATTGATTTCAAATTTGGTGTGGAGGTGGGTTCCTCTACATGTGACATAACTGAACTTCAGGTTTTTGTGAAATAGCACAGACTGTGACAGATCTTTCTCTTGGGAAATGTCCAAAATGCACAGGTCTCTTGGGATGAACTATGCCTCTTTGTTTCCTTTCATGTAGAGCTGGGCGATAAACTGATTGAATTGCTTAATTGGAATTTACGGTTAAAAACTATACAAAAATAGCTGAATCATAAAATTGATATTTAAAATATGAATGTTATAATGGGGGCTGCCAAGGACCGTAAAAGAAGCCCCAACCCATTGAAGTCACTGAACCCACTCATCTACAAAGAACATGTAGAATTATTTTCCAATAGTATCCATATGAGAAGAGGGGGCCCAGTGATAAGACATTACAGATGCACTGGAGTTTCACATTACCAAAGATATGGTGATTTTGTTTGTTTTTAAGAAAATTGTAAAGCGGGTGTGATGTGAAAAAATCTGAGATTTTGTTTTTAGGCCATATTGCTCAGTCCTACTTTCAAGGTCTTTTATTGATGGGGAACGGTCGTATCTGTCAGACTATAGCCACACAGTTAAAGCCTTCCTTTCTGGTTAAGAGTGCGGTCTTCCTCCAGAAGCTCTGATCTCACACTCATAATGTTGAATATCTGAAAGTCTGAGTAATGGACACCTTGAAGAAGAATGGCAAATCTTGAAAAAGTTAGGCTACAGCAGATACAAAAACTACCAAATTCAGAGGAACCATCTGCGTACATCATTGGATCTTAAGACTCAGACTTTCGTATATGCAACAACAAAGGGAAGAACATCTTAAGGCTTTACAGGAAAGTAGGAAAGGAAACTGTATGGTTATAGTCTCCGAAAAGAGGCACAGCTCAAGTCAAGAGACCTACATATGTTATTACAGGAAAACCAAATGTTCCTAACTACAGAAAATATCTGTAGTGCAATGGTAACAAAGGCTGTACTATGTAGCTTTGTCAGAAGCTATGGATACAAGACCATCAAAGAAGACTGTTATTTATGCAAGAGATTTTGACTTTGGGTATCTTGAAAATTTGGGTGCCTTCCCACTAGACTAATTCTGTTGTTTAAGTATCAGGATGGGCTGACTAAAGCACATAGACATGGAGCCTTACATCTTCATCAAAGACAATATGGAAGGGAAAAGCATTGCAGAAAGCTTTCTCTTCCATCCATAGCTTGTTCGGGTAACATGGACTGAAAGTGCACTGGAGGCTGCCTGGGAAGTAAATCAAACACACCCATTCCAACAGTGTTAGAGAAGCAACCCTTAAACCGTTATCTAATGTTATCTAACAGAATTATCACAGTATCCAGCTGTGTGGTATTTTGATTGTGCTACTGTGTATGTTCTTCAGCAGACAAATTTTCGGATATAGTTTAGAGCTGTTTTGACAACATTTTAGTTGTTGTACATTAGGATTGGGCAATTGGATGAATATATCTGCTTTTTCTGGATTTTTTGGACAATTTTTTAGTTTTATTTTGTTAATTTAATGGTCTGCCTCCGACGAATGAGAGCCACTCAGTGACCAACGCAGTGCACACACTGAGACACTGAATGAAATCAAATTTGAAATTGCTTTTCTCTGCCTCAACTCTCAACTCTCTCTTACTGATGGACACATAGTTTTATTTATTTCTAACTAACTTTCTAACTAACTACTAACTGCTGCTTATTGCTAACAGACTGGGAGTTCGAGGCACCAGTGCTCCTGGCGATCATGTGCCATAAATGTAACATTAAACACTGACTCAGTGCTCAGATCTTCTAGTCTGAAAGTTTAAGCAGAGCAGCCAGAGAACATTAGAGGGAAGAACAGAGAATATTTTATCCATAAAATATGATACAGTTTCACCAACATCAGTGAATAAAGTTATAAGATCTTTGCTTTTGCACAGGAATTCGTCAGATAAACATTCATGAGCCAGTGATACCTCTCTCCGAAGTTAAAAAATGTGTCTACAAACTTCCTTGTGGTTTTATGCTGGAACTATTTCTTGATAAAGAACTGTTTATCTATCCGCAAAGTACTTCTGTGCAGTGTCTCTACATCAAAGGTTGATTTATAACATCAGTGAGTACAAGTTTTCAAAATCATCTATTCTATGAATAACTTTTAAGTTAAAGTTAACTATAAAGTTAACCTTTTTCTGAGAGGACCACAGCCCTGAGCAGGTCCCAGCCATGCTTTTTCCCAGCTAGTGACAAACATCTGTCCCTCATTGTTCTCAGTAATGACTCCTGGGGAAAATCACACAGCACAAGTGGGCAAAGAATCAGAAACACACATAATATATACATATAGAAACAACCAATACACAGACACCCACAGACACCCACCCATCTATGACTGGAATTGTGCTGGTCTCTGGTCTTGCCAGCTTGGTTGGTCTGTTTGACCAGGAACACAACATGCTCCTTCTTCCCTGTCCGCTCATCTTCCTCCGATTGATTGAGAACCACCATGGTCACTTTGCTATCAAAAAACTCTCTGGCAACCGCCTCCATGATACCTGTAGCAAGATGGAAAAATGGGCAAAAGAAAGGAAAAACAGTTATGAATGAGCAGTGGATCTCAAATCGTGAGAGATCAGTGTGTGGTCAGTGATTCAATAGCTGCCAATTTCCTTGAAATATTTAATGAATCAGAAATTACACTCTGTCCACTTGGGAACTCCCTCAGGATTCAGGTGTTCCAGGTGACGTGCTACAGTAAGCGTTCTGACTCATTTCCGGTTTACTTCTTGCTCTGTGTACACTGTTTGGTGCTGTAGCTCTGTCAGTGAACGCTAAATCTAAATTTGTTTTACTCGTTACAGACGTTACTTTCCCGCTTAACATTTATACGTAGACTATTTCTACCTAAACACTCGGAGTTACTCCTTCTTTTAGCGACTTTTCGCTACTTTCAAAAGTTTTTCATACACGCTAGCTTCATTAGCATTAGCAGTTAGCTATGGCTTCTTCCTCTCCCTCTTCCCTCTCCTCTGTCCTGCTCAGTGTGTGAGATGTTTAGTTATTCCTCTGCCTCCTTTAATGATAATGGTTCTTGTATTAAGTGTAGTTTATTTACTGCGCTGGAGGCGAGGCTAGCCAGCCGGTGCGGTCCTACCGAAGGTAGCTTCTGTTAGCCGTCCTTCGGTAGATCCCCCGGTAGATCCCGAGCAGCCGGGAAGACAGGGAGGCTGGGTGACTGAGCGAAGGAAGACTAAAACGCCGAAGCCCACAGTTCACCACCAACCCATTCATGTTTCTAATAAATTGTCCCCACTCAGCGACACACCCGCTGAGGAACCAACTCTGGTTATTGGCAGCTCCATAGTCAGAAACGTGAAGTTAGTGAAGCCAGCGGCCATAGTTAAATGTATCCCTGGGGCCAGAGCGGGCGACATTGAATCAAATTTAAAACTGCTGGCTAAAGATAATCGTAAATATGGTGAGATTGTTATCCACGTCGGCGGTAATGACACCCGTTTAAGCCAATTGGAGGTCACTAAAATTAATGTGGAGTCGGTGTGTAATTATGCTAAAACAATGTCGGACTCCATAGTTTTCTCTGGACCCCTGCCCAATGTCACCAGTGATGAAATGTATTGCCGCATGTCGGACTTCCACCGCTGGCTGTCGAGGTGGTGTCCAGCAAACGATGTGGGCTTCATTGATAACTGGAAGCCTTTTTGGGGAAAACCTGGTCTGATTAGGAGAGACGGCATCCATCCCACTTTGGATGGAGTGGCTCTCTTATCTAGAAATATGGCGAAGTTTATTTGTAAAACCTGACAGTCCAGAGTTGGGATCAGGAAGCAGAGCTGCTGTCTTACACGCTTCTCTGTGCTTTCTTTAGAACAATCACCCACCCAAAACCCCATAGAGACTGTGTCTGTCCCCCGACCACCTAAATTATTTAAAGAAATACAAACAAGAGGAGTTCAACATAAAAATCTAATAAAAATTAAAACTAACTCCTCAGTAGCACAAAATAAAAGAATGAAATGTGGACTGTTAAATATCAGGTCTCTGTCCTCTAAAGCTGTTTTAGTGAATTAATTAATATCAGATTATGATATTGATTTACTTTGTCTTACTGAGACCTGGTTGTCCCACCAGGAGTATGTTAGCCTAAATTAATCCACCCCCCCCAGTCATATTAATTCTCACATTCCTCGAGGCACCGGCCGAGGAGGTGGAGTAGCAGCCATATATGATTCGAGCGTTTTAATGGATCCTAAACCTAAACTAAATTATAATTCATTCGAAAGCCTTGTTCTTAGTCTTTTTCACCCAAACTGGAAAACACTGCAGCCAGTTCTGTTTGTTATAGTGTACCGTGCTCCTGGACCGTACTCTGATTTTATATCTGAATTCTCAAGAGTTTTTATCAAGTTTTGTCCTTAAATCAGATAAAGTAATTATTGTAGGTGATTTTAATATTCATGTGGATGTTTACAATGACAGCCTTAGTAACGCATTTATATCATTAATAGACTCAATTGGCTTCTTTCAGAGTGTAAATAAACCAACTCATTGTTTTAGACACACTCTTGATCTTGTTCTATCATATGGCATTGATATTGAACATTTAATAGTCTTCCCACATAATCCTTTCCTATCTGACCATTATTTAATAACTTTTGAATTCATACTATTAGATCATAAGCCATTAGACAAAACTTCCTACAGCAGATGTCTATCTGACAGTGCCGTAGCTAAATTTAAGGAGGAGATTCCTTCAGTGTTAAATTCAGACATGGCATGGAATTAAACACAATCCTATAACAACTTTAGTCCCTCTGAAATTGATAACCTTGTTGATAGTGCTGCAGGCTCACTACGATCAACATTAGACTCTATCGCTCCTATAAAAAGGAAATTAGTAAAACATAGGAGACTAGCACCGTGGTACAATCACCAAACCCACCAGTTAAAGCAAATAGCTAGGAAATCCGAAAGGAAATGGCGCTCTTCCAAATTATCAGAATATTGCTCAATTTGGCAAGATAATCTTAAAACTTATAGAAAGGCCCTCCGTAATACCAGAGGACCCTATTACTCAGCACTAATAGAAGAAAATAAGAATAACCCTAGGTTCCTCTTCAGCACTGTAGCCAGGCTGACAGAGAGTCACAACTCTATTGAGCCACATATCCCCATAAACTTAAGTAGCAATGACTTCATGAGCTTCTTTTATAATAAAATTATTACTATTAGAGAGAAAATTAATCACCAACTGCCATCAACAGTTATCAGTGGCTCTCCAAGTTCAGGGACTTTTACTAATGTAAACTTAGATATATATTTAGACTGTTTCTCTGCTATCGATCTTCATCAGTTAACTTCAGTAATTTCTTCATTGAAGCCATCAACCGGTTTATTAGACCCGATCCCAGCTAGGCTGCTTAAAGAAGTTGTTCCCTTAATTGGCACTTCTTTACTGGATATGATTAATCTTTCTTTATTATCTGGATATGTACCACAGTCCTTTAAAGTAGCTGTAATTAAACCCCTTCTTAAAAAGCCCACTCTTGACCAAGGGGTTTTAGCCAACTATAGACCAATCTCTAACCTCCCCTTCCTCTCTAAGATTCTGGAGAAAGTAGTCGCCAAAGAGTTGTGTGACTTTCTACATAACAATAGTTTATTTGAGGATTTTCAGTCAGGATTTAGAGTTCATCATAGCACAGAGACAGCTCTGGTTAAAGTCAATAATGACCTTCTGATTGCTTCTGACAATGGACTTGTCTCTGTACTTGTATTATTAGATCTTAGTGCTGCATTTGACACCATTGACCATGATATTCTTTTACAGAGACTTGAGCATCAAATTGGCATTAAAGGAACCGCACTAAGCTGGTTTAAGTCATATTTATCAGATCGTTTGCAGTTTGTAGATGTTAACGATGAATCTTGAATAAATACTACAGTTAGTCATGGAGTTCCACAAGGTTCTGTACTTGGACCAATACTATTTACACTATATATGCTCCCTTTAGGCAACATTATTAAGAATCACTCCATTAAGGGGCGGCTGTGGCTCAGAGGCAGAGCGGGTCGTTCCTTAATCGGAAGGTTGTGGGTTCGATCCCTGGCTCCTGGTGCCACATGTCGAAGCATGCTTGAGCAAGATACTGAACCCCAAATTGCTCCTGATGCCGTGCATCGGTGTGTGAATGTGTATGAATGAGTTTGTTTCTGTTCGACGGACTTTGCCGTCACTGAGTGAATGTGTGTGGCACGTAGTGTAAAAGCGCTTTGAGTGGTCGGAAGACTAGAAAGCCGTTATACAAGTACAGGTCCATTTAGCATTAACTTTCACTGTTATGCAGATGATACGCATTTATATCTATCGATTAAGCCCGATGAAATTAATCAATTATCTAAATTACAAGCATGTTTTAAGGACATAAAATCCTGGATGAGCTGCAATTTTCTGATGTTAAACTCAGAAAAAAACGAAATTCTTGTTCTTGGCCCCCAAAACCTTAGAGACTCACTGTCTAAAGATATAGTTACTCTAGATGGCATTACCTTGGCCTCTAGCACCACTGTCTGGAATCTTGGAGTTATCTTTGATCAGGATTTGTCATTTAACTCCCACATAAAGCAAACCTCCAGGACTGCCTTCTTTCATTTACGTAATATTACAAAAATTAGACACATCCTATCACAGACAGATGCAGAAAAACTAATCCATGCATTTGTTACTTCAAGGCTGGATTTCTGCAACTCTTTGTTATCAGGTTGCCCCAATAAGTCCATTAAAATGCTCCAATTAATTCAGAACGCTGCAGCACGAGTACTGACAGGAACTAGAAAAAGAGATCACATCTCTCCTGTACTAGCTTCTCTGCACTGGCTCCCTGTAAAATGTAGAATAGAATTTAAAATCCTCCTCCTCACCTATAAAGCTCTTCATATCTTAAAGAGCTCATAGTACCCTATTGCCCCTCTAGAACACTACGTTCTCTGAATGCTGGGCTACTTGTGGTTCCTATAGTCTCTAAAAGTAGAACAGGAGCCAGAGCCTTTAGGTACCAATCTCCTCTCCTGTGGAATCAGCTTCCAGTTGTTGGTTAGGGAGGCAGACACCCTCACCACATTCAAGATCAGGTGAGTCCTGAACCATCCCTTCGTTATGCTGCTATAGGTCTAGACTATTGGGGGATTTCCCATGGTGCACTGAGCTCCTCTTTTCCTCTCTCTTCCTGCACTCATTCATGTCCCATTAATGCATGTTACTAACTTAACTTCTTCCCCGGAGTTCTTGTGCTTTCTCGTCTCGCAGGTTCTTATAGATCCTGGTGGAGCCTCCTGCCATGGTCCTGCTAGATTGCCATTGCCAATACTGTTGTTGCTGTACACCTGTGTGTGTCTCTCTCTCTCTCTCTCTCTCTCTCTCTCTCTCTCTCTCTCACCCCAACTGGTCGAGACAGAAGACCACCCACCCAGAGCCGAAGGATCTGTCCTAGGTTTCTGCCTTTTAACAGGCAGTTTTTCCTTGCCCTTGTCGCCAAGTGCTTGCTCATGGTGGTACTGTTGGGTCTCTGTAAATAATGTTATAAAGAGTTCGGTCTAGACCTGCTATATTTGAAAAGTGTCATGAGATAACTTTTGTTATGAATTGGCGCTATACAAATAAAATTGAATTGAAAATTGAAATGCTTCTGCACAAAAGGGAATAATGCACAGGTTTTGTTTAGAGACATTTCACATGCTGTGTAAAAGCCTTCTGCTACAACCCTCTCTCACAGCAATAATGCAATAGAGGGAAGGAGCAACTACTGCAGGAGGCCGATTATCACATTGAGACTACAGAGACTCGCAACACAGGTATAAACACTTTTGCCTTCAGATTATATTGGGCAACAAATCGTAAAAACTATATAAGGTATATATGTTATTGTACAAGGATAGGTATTTTTGTCTGTACACATAACATTATGCACCAGTTAATCCCTGTTAAACAATAACCTGTAAGAGGAACAAAACTTTTAGGCTGTTCAATGTGATGTGTAAAGGAGTGTTTTATTTTCAAATGCACATCTTTTGAAAACCAGACAAAGAGCAAGTGGCATGTGGCACAAATTTGAAACGTGAACTGCGAATTGCAGCAAGAGATAATTTCGTCTCCTGTTTATTTTGACATTATTTACTAAGCAAAACAAACTCCATACTTGTTACCCATGGAAGGTCATGCAGGAGTCTTGTACTCAACAAATTTATCTGCAAACAATCACTTTTGAAAGGTGACATTACCACTTTTTGCAATGAGTGTGTAAGCGTGCTTGCAAATTGCATTAGAAACACTTGCAGCTCTCTTTTTATGCTCTTTTTTTGGCAAGGTGTTCTACACAGCGATGAAGAGTCACGGCATCTGCTTTTGTTTAAGTTTCCACCTTTGGTTAGTTTAAATAAACCACGATTCATTCTCATATTCCTCTATTTGAAATTACTCACTCTCACACACAAACTCAACATGCCAATAGACTTCTGAGATAGGTTCATATGCTTGGCAATCTTGCAATGTTTGCTCTAAACAAACCCAGCAGAAACAGTAGTTTGGTGGCCAGACACAGATGTAGAAGCAGTAGGTAACCACTTCTAAATCTCAAAATCTGATACAGAGATGCGTTTTTTAATTCATTTTTTTGCTGTGATACCCAGAGCTCTTTCACCAGAGAAGAGCTTATAAACATCAGGGGAACAACTCCAGTGGATTTATTTCCCACTTCACTTTACTCCTATCATCTGTGGAATTATTGCGTTCACCTTTGCTCATTCAGTAAAACACCATAGGTGGTTCGTGCTTCTCCACCAGCACAGACATGGCACACCATCCCAAGCAATGTTTCTTTTCATCGTATGTTCACTGAGCAACAAACTGAACATCAGCTATTGGTGGGGGGAAAAACAGACTTTTCTTCATCTTCTGTTTTCTGCTTCACAGAATCCTGGCTGATCTTGTCCCAGAACAAACAGGAGCATAATGCTTTCAAGACAGTGGAGATAATTTTGGACTTCAGAAAGAATACAGCCCCATCCACCCCCATCACCCTGTGTGACTCCCCAGTCAGCACTGTGGAGTCCTGGGTACCATCATCACTCAGAACCTCAAGTGGGAGCTGAACATCAGTTCCCTTACCCATACCCTCTACAAAAAAGCACAACAGAGGATGTAGTTCCTGCAGCAGCTGAAGAAGTTCAACTTAACAAAGATGATGATGGTGCACTTACACTACACTGCCATCAAGTCCATCCTCGCCTCCTCCATCACCAAGGACAAGGGCAGACTGCAGCGTGTCATTCTCTCCATTGAGAAGGTGATCGGCTGCAATTTGCCATACCTTGAGGACCTGTACACCGTCAAGACTCTGAAGTGTGCAGGTAAGATTGTGGCTGACTCTTTGAGACACTTCCCTCTGGCAGGGGGCTGCGGTCCATCAGGACCAAAACCTCACACCACAAGAACAGTTTTTTTCCCATATGCAGCTGGCATACTAAACAAAATTGCAAACCAGAAGAAACAAAACCAATTACAAAACCTATTATTTGTTTTGTGTCCCTTGATTAATGTTTTTTTTTGATTGACTCTGACAACAAATGCTAATAAAGAAGCAACTACCTATCACTGTCTGAGTAAAAAGTAAAGTAATATGATAAATCTTTCAATGAATAATACATAATTAACTATTTAATTAAGTTTTGTTACACTGTTGTGGAAAAGGTTTCTAATGTGAATGGTAAATGGACTGTACTTATGTAACGTCTTTCTAGTCATTCGACCACTCAATGCGCTGTACACTACATGCCACACTCACCCATTTGCACACATTCACACTGATGGCAGTGGCTGCCATGCAAGCTGCTCATCAGAATGGAAACTAAGCATTCATACACACTTATATACCGATGCACAGCATCTGGAGCAATTTGGGGTTCAGTATCTTGCTTCGACATGCAGCCAGAAAAGCCAGGGATCGATTGAACCGCCAGCCTTCCCATTGAGTGGACGACCCGCTCTACCTCTGAACCTACTATAGACAATAATGTATCTTTGGTAGTCAATTAATTACCACTGTTAGTTGAAGTCATAACAAACCCTCTGCTACAATTTGTAAAATCAAGATTAATGCAGTGGATTGAGGAAGTGTAGGTTTTTTTTTTTTACCAGGCACAATATGGTACAAGCCCTTCCTGTCAGAATAGTAGTGAAGAAGCATCTTCCCATCATCTGTCATCTCCACTCGGAAAGACGGTGCATTCATTTCCTAAAAAACAGGTCAGATGTTTTAAGATAATAAAAAACACAACAAATTGAAGAAATTCAAGAAACTCTTGTCACAACATAATACATATATTAAAGCTGTAAAAGTGGACTGCATACATGGATGAATTTGTGCCTGGGTACAAATGCATCTTTTGTGTCGCTTTTAGCCATATATTGCAGATTAATTAAAACTGTAAAATGTTGGTTGAAAATAGATCCTGAACTTTAGGACACTGTTTATGCTGAAGATGAAAAATATATGTCTGAGTTCTTTGTTTTCTAAAGCAGATCCACGCTGATCCTCATCTCTGCAGATATAAGACTTTAGGATACTACACATAATAATAAGAAACCATCCAAGGATACCTGTTCTCCAGTTTTCTTAAATCTGAGCTACTCTGCTATCTCAGCACTAATCCATGACTGCAGGTTGACTCTGATTGAATTGCAGGTAAATGTAATCAATTAAGTTTTGTAAAATTACAGATATTTCATCTTTGAAAATGCATAACTTTAACTATATAAAATGATAATCTGCAAATTCACAGCAAAGGTAGCTGTTATTTATATTACGATTTGATTAATATGGTGGAGTAAATGTGCAATACCAAGTATAGTTGAAATATAAAGTAGTTCATGTTCAGAAATATGTAAATATACAGTATAAACAGTAAATGCACTGAGGTGTGTCTAGATCAATACCAATATTTTTCTTTTTGTAATTTATAACATATACAGCAAAAAAAAGAAGGAAAAAAATTGAGAGACCACTCAAAATATTTTTTTCTTTCTTTTTTTATCTACATGTATGGCAGCCATTCCATTCCAGTGTTTGTTGAATTCCAACACAAGCACACCTCATTCTACTAAATGAAGTACTGATTAAGGTGATCACCTGAACCAAATCTTATTTAACGAGGAAAAGTATAAATACCACTGCTGTGGTCATCACTATTCTCTTGCAATAGGAACAGCTGGATGGCAAAATGCTAGTGCTAGAAGTACCTCAAAAGTTAAAAAAAAGTAAAAACTATTGATCATGCCAAAAGAGTTGAAAAGAAAAGTTTTGAGTGAGGAAAAGAAAGGTTCAATTCTGGCTGTACTGGCAGATGGATACAGTGAGCGTCAGGTTGCTTCCATCCTTAAAATTTAAAAGATGGCGGTTCATAAGAACAAGCTCAAGCAGAAGACATTGGGGACAACAAAGCTGCAGATGGGCAGAGGGTGAAAACGACTTTCCACTGACCGGGATGACCGCCAATTCATTCATGTCACTTTTCACAAACTGTACCATATGGCCATGACAAAAGGAGGGAGATGCACACAACAAATCAAATTAACAAATTATTTATTAAGGAAAATAATTAAACTAACTAACAGTAATATGTGAAATCAGTGTAAGTGAGTGCATGAGTAGAAAAGTGTATGAGTGCTGTGTTGTATTAAGATGCAGCAACACAATCAAACCATCAAACCCAAAAACCAAATAGTTGTCTCAGGGAGGAGAGAGAGACAGTACTGAGCTCCCAGAGGGTTTTTAAAGGAGGAGGTGTGGCCAATTTACTGACGACCCTCTGTCACACCCACTTAAAGTACCTGCACAGAAAACAGCCAGACAAGCAAATGGCAGCTCGGGTGAAGTGCACGGCAAGAACAGTTCGAAACAGGCTGTTAAGGGCAGGGCTGAAGTCGTGCAAAGCTAGAAAGAAGCCCTTCATCAATGAGAAGCAAAGAAGAGCCAGGAAGAAAACTTCCCTTCTTCTGCTCTGACAATGTTTCCCAACTCTGAGGATTGTTTTTTCCAGCATTTTGTTTTAATTCCAGCTCCATGCCGCCCAGGTCAATCAAGGTGTGGATGAAGGACCATCACATCAAGACCCTGTCAGGGCCAGCCCAATCTACAGACCTGAACCCCATTGAAAACCTCTGGAATGTGATCAAGAGGAACATAGATGATCACATGCCATCAAACAAAGTGAGGTGCTTGAATTTTTGCACCAGGAGTGGCATAAAGTCACCCAACAGCAATGTGAAAGACTGGTGGAGAGCATACCAAGACGGTTATTCCTAAGTTAAAACATTAGTACTGTTTTGTTTAAAAATGATTATGAACTTGTTTTCTGTTTATATTCAAGGTCTGAAAACACTGCATCTTTCACACCAGTTGTCATTTTCTGCAAATAAATGCTCTAAATGACAATATTTTTATTTGGAATTTAGGAGAAATGTTGTCAGTAGTTTATAGAATAAAACAAAAAATTTCATTTTACTCAAACAAAATTACAGGAATGTCAAGTCAATCTTTTTACAATACTCATATGGAGGACCTTTTATTGTCAAAGTGAAAACATATCTCTACAAGGTGATCTAAAAGAATAATATTATATATAAAGTATTTGTTTGCATAATGATTCCCAGCTCTAAGTCAATATAGAGTAGCTTTGGGGTGGAGTGATGGCTCCCATCAAGCAGAAAGCCTTGAATGCAGTTGCCACACACACCACTGCTTTATGGGGCGGCTGTGGTGCAGAGGCAGAGCGGGTCGTCCCCTAATCGTAAGGTTGTTGGTTCGATCCTCGGCTCCTCCTGCCACATGTCGAAGTATCCTTGAGCAAGGTACTGAACCCTGAATTGCTCCTGATGCTGTGCATCAGTGTGCGAATGTGTATGAATGAGTTAGTTTCTGTTTTTCTTTGCCGTGAATGTGTGTAAACAGCAATGGCAAAGCCCATCAAACAGAAATTCATGCATTCATAAAAATTCACACACTGATGCACGGCATAGGGAGCAATTCGGGGTTGAGTATCTTGCTCAAGGATACTTTGACATGTGGCAGGAGGAGCCAGGGATAGAACCAACAACCTTCCGATTAGGGCGACCCGCTCTGCCTCTGCGCCCTTTACACATCCAGCAGACAGATTTGGAGTGGTGTTTGTGTCCAACTGATGAATGTGTGGCCAATATACACTCTGCCAAGCTTGTCTCTTACCATGTCTGTCTGCTGTTTGGTGTGGAGCCCCTAGTGTACAGTGGGACTTTAGAGTTTTTTCTCTGATAACAGCTGCCTGTTACAGTTGAAAACGACACTAAGAGACACTGAGCGTGAACCAAAATAGTAAAGTTGGGGGCTAAACAGCTAAACAACCTCAACAATTTTCTCTTTGTGCTGTTAACTATCACTTTTTCAACACTGACATAATCATCACAGTCACTAAGTAGTAAATTAGAAGGCTAAAACTAGGGGCTCTATATTTTAAATGGAGCACAGCACAGACTTGTACTGCTGAAATTACATTTTCCTAAGACTAAGACTGAGCACTCACAGTAAGAATATGGGTTAGTTTCAAATGTGACAAACTATTTGCCAAAGCCTGGTTGTTTTCTTTTAGGTTTGGTAAAATTTGCCATCAGGATGCAAACCAAAATAATAACACACGAGCATACCTGATAGGACAGAGCCAGGTAACTATGGAGAGCATCTAGATTTCCAATGAATTCAATGAGATTTCCTCCCAGTGTCCTCAGCATGGTGTCATAGCCTGCTTGCTTACAAAACAGAAAGAAATGTTCTCCAAAAAGCTTAAGAAGAACATCAGCAGGAACATCTGAAACATATAAAAAACATACAGAGCAACACTGTCACAGAACATTATAGATATTACATTCTCCGAGTGCACACCTGTGTATCTTATTACAGCATTGGCAGCAAGCACATATTCAATTACAGCCTATTCCCAAAAGTATGTACAGTTTAGATAATCAGACCCTTGGGAAGAGCTTAGTACAATGTTGACATGCTCTGACTAAACAAATCTTGTTTTGTTTTACACAGCTGTGTCCAGGGGCCTAGTGTTGCATGTACTAGTCAAATACAATCTATACATGTATGACTAAATAATTTACTTGTTCAGATACACTTGCGTACACAAGTTTTTTTAAACTGTTCACCCTATACAAATGTTTATAGCTTACTATACTCTGATGATACAATGTTTTTTCAGTACTGACATAAAAAAGGAAAATAAATTAAATGTATGTAAATAAATATACATGCTACGCAGGATAAATTAAAACTGAATCTAGAACTGCAGTCACATGGTGATCATTTCTACACTGTTATGGAATGTAAGTAATTATTTTAATGTAAAACAACATAAGTAAAAACTTTTTTGCATGTATTTTGAATTGTATTCAGTTTTAAGGGCAGATATTGTGCATGTGGTGATATAAAAAACATCTACTGGGTGTAACCTGTTGGATTTCATCAGGGACATTGTTAACACTTGAGTTATCACATGCATGCACAGACATGGTGCAAAATATAATTTACAACAACAACAAACAGCAAACATACACTGATCAGCCATAACATTATGACCACCTGGGCACCCTTGTAGTCATAATGTTATGCAGCCTCATACGCAACAACCACACGGGAGAGCCTTCGCTCCCCATGTTGGTCCATGTATGTTCAGCAGTGCAGCCTGCAAAAGGGCTGGGTGAAGGTGAATATAGATCACAGGTGGCGATTATTAAATACTATATTAAAAAAAAGACATTGATTTAGTGAAACCACTTGTATGATTATAACCTCGGACCATTGGACTGATGCTCATTTCGTAATAATTTGAATATATCTCACCTCATACATGGTCACATAGTTCAGTAATTAATGTTACACGACAGCGTTTGCACTGCAATGTGTTTAAAGGATTAAACATACAATATTGGTCTGCATTCGCCAGGGTATTAATTATCTCTTGATTACTTAGGACTGCTTCTTTTAGATTCCATGCAGACTCACTCATAGTCCAACACTTCTTGCAGTAACATCCTTATGGAATAAAATTAGGCCGAAAACACAAGATGGTCCAGTGCCTTGATCACATGAGATTTCATTCTGTATATATAAACTTTTATTCCATATATTCAAACTATCATTCCATATATTTAACCTTCATATTACATATATAATGATTTCCTAAAGGGCCTAAAGGGTATTCCAATATACATATATAGTTTTTACCTTGCATTCAATGGTCCTTGTGATGGCCTTAGAGTTGGCCTTATTCTGTTCCTCTTTCTTGGCTATTTTTTATTTTTTTCGTTTAATTAAATTATGTTAACTATTCTCAAACTGTGTGGTCTGCTCTTTCGTCACACACTTTTGGGCCAGGTTGTAACAAAAGGGGGGCTTTGTTTCCTTTGTTAAGTTTTCTAATGTTCATTAGAAACTTATTTGTAATTTGCTGGTAGGTTGGTATGTTTTGTCACCTCTATTCTCCCACTTATCTGCTTAGATTAAGGTTTGGGGCTACCTGTAGAAGAGGATAGAGAATAAATTTGTTCTTGTTCTTTTGTTTGTTGTTTTAGTTTTTTATGACCCAAGGAGGGAGGTAGTTAGGTAGTAGGTAGGTGCTAACAACCAGTTTTGGGAGGCTTCATAGTCCAGAGTTTTGGTTACTGGTTGAGATTGAGCAGAGTTTGTCTGTGTATAGAGGTTTGGTTAAAGTCCCTGTATAGTTTGTTGCTTTGTTTTGGTCAGTAGTGCAGGTTGTTAGGGCTAGAGATTTATTGCTGTTTTGTGTAGGACTGGAGACAGTTCTTGGAAATTTTGGGCCACGGTGACAGAGTTGATTGTTTGGGGTGCACATGTGGAAATTGGAGCTTTCTCTGGTAGGATGAACATTTCTCCTTTGGGAGTCGTTCATAAAATCATTAAGTGTTCCAGTGAAAACAGTTAAAGCAGTTGCTTGAGGGGGTCACTGTTTGTGCAGTTGCCTTCTTTGCTCTGGTGATTTCTAGTGCATAAATACTCAGTGTAACAAACTGAATGAAGACCAGGGTTGAAATTAGTAAGTTTATGGATAGGCAGTTAGCGGGAAAGCTCTAATTGTATGGCATCACAGTGATCAAAACTGTACTGTTATGGCTACTTTTGCTAATTCTGTACAGTCTACGTCTGAGGAGCTTTTAAATAGTTGTACCAAAGAGCAACGTTTGAAGCAAGTTGAGCATTATGACATCGACAATGGAGAGAAACGGTCATTGAGGGTGTGTTGTTTTAATGGAAAATGGTGTTCTGCCGGTTACTTTGCAGAGTTGAAGTGTCTGTGGTTTCTTCTCCAGGTTTAACTTTTTAAGCAGCAAAAGGTTGTTGCTGTTGCAAATGGAAAGGGATAAATGGGCATAAAAAAAGGAATGACTATGGCAGTCTTTGGAAAAAAGAAAACTGGAGTTACAGCACTTCAGGTTAAATCTAATCAGGGAAAGTAAGATGTCAGGTAATGATGCTACTGAGGGTTCATATGAGTCTGGTTCATCTGTATCTCAACGTTTGAAAATGTTTGATGTGGTGGGTAACTTGCGTTTAGTGCCGAAATTTTATTTGCTTTTTTTCTCTCTTTTTTAACCTGTCGCCAATGCTAGAGGTTGGCCAGATGCTGAACGGTTAGTAATGTTGCAATCTTATTCAGTGCTCAGTGCAGCTGACAGCCAAGTATATTCTACTGTTAAAGAGGCAATTTTAAAAGTTTATGAATTAGTACCAGACAGACCAACATTTCAGGTCTTGGAGGAAGTCTGATAAGCAGTCACATGTCGAGTTTGCAATGTTGTTCAGCATCAGAGGTCACAACTTTTAAAGATCTGTGTGATCTTATGGTGGTAGAGCAGTTTAACGATTGTATTCCACCTGAGGTTGCCACTCATATTGCTGAGCGTGGTGTAGAAACTGACTTTGAAGCTGCTATTCTGGCATATAAATATGTGTTGACACATAAAGGAACATTTGGAACAAATGGTGTGTCAGGTAATGCTAATATTAAGCTAATGGTCATTTTGCAAAATTGTCTTGGTCTGAGTCTTCAAAGACAAATCATGGTCCACGTTCAGGTGGTTTTGGTAAAGTTTGCAATTACTGCCACGAGAGGGGACACTGGAAAGCAGAGTGCACTGTGCTGAAAAGCAGCGTAAATCGAACAGGTGGTAATCATGTTAAACCAGTCGCTCTCAGTGTTCCAGTTAAGAAAGTTCCAGTTGTCACAGAGGTGTTTGGTGCAGTTGAAGCAGAAACCGAGAAATATACGCGTTTTGAAGTTTTCATGTCAGATGGGCTTGTGTCTCTCAGTGTTAGCGATGTTAACGTGCCTGTAAAAATTCTACGAGACACAGGAGCAAAGAATTAATTTATACTTGCTTCTGTGCTTCCATTTTCTCAAGACACAGATACTGGTGAATGTGTGGTGGTATGCTCCTGTGCGCAAATCCAGTCTGTCCTGTGTTCTTGTGAATGGTGATGTCCATGTTGCAGTTCAGCCCACCTTGCCTATAGATGGGATAGATGGGATTTTGGGGAACGATCTGGCTAGCAATCGGGTTACACATTTTGTTAAAGGAATCAGATGACTGTAAATAAGAGTTCCCTGATGTCTTTAGTGCTTGTGCTGTGACAAGGGCAATGACTAGAGCTAAATCAGATTCTTTAGTTCAGGAGGAAGAGTGTGATTTAAAAAATGACTTGCATCCACCTAATTCATTCTCTGTCTCAACAGGAGCTTATCATTGACATGCAAGCTGCTGCTGCTTTGAGTGAGCTGTTTGAGCAGGTGCAGACTAGTGATGAAGTACAGCCGTTGGGTATTTCCTGCAGAAAGAGGTTTTGGTTCGTATGTGGGTGCATCAGGGTTTTGATTGTGTGGGTGATTCTGTTGTTTAAATAGTAGTACCAACTAAGTATTGAAATCAAGTGTTGACATGTTCTCATGACCAGACAGGCATTCGGGGGTTAGGAAAACATATGGTCATGTGTTGCATTAGTTCTTTTCGCCTCGTCTTAAGCGTGATGCTGCTTACATTAAGACTTCCCATAAACCAAATCAGTCGATCAAGCCTGCCCCACTTTGTCCAGTCCCTGCTGTGAACAACCCATTTGAACATCTTATCATCAATTATGTTGGTTCTTTGCCTAAGTCAAAATCTGGGTCTGAGTATCTGTTGAAAGTCATATGCCAGGTTACGCGTTAGCCTGCAGCCTATCCATTGCACACTATCACAGCTAAGTATCTAGTTAAAGCCTTGTCTCAGTTTATTATATATAACACCAAATATCATTCCAAATGACCAAGGGTCAAACTTTTTGTCACATTTGTTCTTACAAGTTCTTAAGCAACTGAACATCAAGCATACCAACATCTGCTTATCATGCACAAAGCATGTCTTTGTTTTGAGCATATTGCACAGAAATGCACAGGGACTAGGAGGAAGGTTTGCCTTGGTTGCTTTTAGCAGCAAGGGAGGTGTGCCAATAGAGTGCTGAATATGTTGAAACCGTATTATGCCTGTGCTTCCTCTCCAGTTAAGCCAGCTTCCGCTTCCAAAGAAGGGTGTCTGGTTTTGACTGCTTGTACAGTGGTGCAAACAGCATTTAGTGGAACTGAGTCGCTTCAAAAAGCTTGAGGTTTTGCTGGCTCATTTGCCTGTTCAACTGATTAAAAGCTATCCGTCCTTATTTGGAGATACTCCTTCAAGAACAAATTTGATTGAACATGATGTTGATGATGCTAAACCAATTCGTCAAAGATTTTAGTCTCTGAGGAGAAGAGAAAAATTATTGACAGTGAAGTTAAGTACATGCTTGATAATCACATTGCAGTGCCTTCCTCTTCTAGTTGGGCTTCGCCATGTTTGCTTGTTGAGAAATCTGATAAGTCCCCAAGATGCTGTACAGATTTCCGAAAAATAAATGGTAAATGGTTGTTGAGTGACTTGATGATTGTGCTGTGTATTTAGATGATGATACCTGGGAGGATCATCCAAGTTGCATTCATGCTTTGTTTGCAGATGGAAATTTAACCGTAAACTTAGCTTTAAAGCATTTCCATGTCTATCTTGACTATGGAATGCCAATTGTTGTACTTACTGACCATAATCCACTAACCTTTTTGAACTCTCTGCAGAACCCAAATCATAGGCTCATGCGGTGGGCTTTGTTTTGCAGCCTTATATCTTGCCATATTAAGGGCAAAGGTAATATTATGCCGGATGCTTTGTCGCATGCACCTTTGTAAGTCTTAACATGTCTTTTACACTGTCCCCTGCAGCCTCTGTTTCCCTTCCTGTTTGCTCCTAGGCGCCAAGGTTGCTAAGGTTGGAGATGAGTCTGGAGAGGGGAGGAGTATCAACTTGTGTAAAAGGTTACATAGATAATTGCACTTTGTTAGGTCCAGGGTAGGAACTCTGTCTTATAGTTTTTACCCTGCTCCAACTGTCCTTGTGATGGCCTTTGTGTTTTATATTCATACATATACACCTCACCTTTCACTCACACAGACATACAGATTTGCTGACAGACATATTAATTGATTATTTGCATTTGCTTAATTAAATTGAGTTAATTATTCTCAGACTGTAATGGTAAATGGTAAATGGACCTGTACTTGTATAGCGCCTTTCTAGTCTTCTGACCACTCAAAGCTCTTTTACACACATTCACTCAGTGATGGCAAAGCCCATCGAACAGAAACTAACGCATTCATACACATTCACACACCGATGCACAGCATCAGGAGCAATTTGGGGTTCAGTATCATGCTCAGGGATACTTCGACACGTGGCGGGAGGAGCCTGGGATCGAACCAACAACCTTCTGATTAGTGGTAAATGGTTAATGGACCTGTACTTGTATAGCGCCTTTCTAGTCTTCCGACCACTCAAAGCGCTTTTACCCTATGTGCCACATTCACCCTTTCACCAGCGATGGCAAAGTCCATCAAACAGAAACTAACTCATTCATACACGTTCACACACCGATGCTGGGCATCGGGAGCAATTTGGGGTTCAGTATCTTGCTCAAGGATACTTCGACATGTGGCAGGAGGAGCTGGGGATCAAACCAACAACCTTCCGATCAGAAATGCCTCTGAGCCACAGTGGACAACCTGCTGAGCCACAGCCACGCCCCTACCGCTGTGTGGTCTGCTCTTTTGTCACACACTTTTGAGCCAGGTTGTGACATCCTGAATAAGACAGTCATCGGTCATTAAATCTCGTTGAGTCTTACCAACCCCACTCAGACTGGATTAACATTACATGGGGGAATATTATGCTTCTCTGTAATTTAACTCACTGCATTTAATTTATTTTAATTAAATTTTTTTTGTTTTCATTTATTCGTCTGTACAGCACTTTGGTCAACTTTGGTTGTTTTAAAGTGCTTAACAAATAAATATAAAAAAAACAAAACAATAATGAAATTACATGATCACATGGACATTCTGCAGGTCAAAGCAAAAAGAGAAAAGGAGAAGCCTCCCTGGGTCCATTAGAAATAAATCCACTTAGAAATAATATAAAAAAGACATTACAGAACTGAGAATCATCTTATTTTTAAGTTTTCTTTACTGTCAAAGTAATCCAGTGATTTTCAGTGTACATCCATGGATCCACTGAAAACAGGAGCTTATTAGCTTATTGCTAATGTTTTACTGGTGCCAATTTGCCAAAATCGACACTGAGGAGAATACCAGTATACAACAACCTATTTGATGAGCTTTTACCAGTTCTTGCTTTCCTGAAGGAGAAGCAACACTACCTGTGGAAAAAAACCCTCAACTTTAAAACATTAGATCTTTTCTCTGGATAGGAATAAATTACAGAAGAACCAGCCAGTTCACAGAAAAATAGTCAGTAATTTAGGCTGTATTTATTACTGAGGTGGGGGTGAGGAATTACCCAGATAGGCACTCCAGATGGGATTAAACTCAATGACCATTTCAGGTAATGTTCAAATCATCTTATCTCCCCTAGAGACATAAATCTAGACCCAGTGCGGCTACATCAATAAGGTATCTCATCAATTAGTAAGACTGTCATGAAAATGACTGAAAATACTCGAGCTCCAACCAAGACATTGTAAAATTTGAACTCACCCAGTAGTGAACAAGCCTCCTTCACCAGGCTTAGGGTTAGGATATCGTCGTAAACTGTATATGTCATGAAGGTATCCTGGACCCCTGCTAGAGTGCTATACAAAAAAACATACAAGTTGTCAAACTGATCACAATCATCATCTTGATCATACAGCCACTGCCATGCATTATGGTAATATATAGGTGTTTATGCGTCCAAACCTCAATTTGTCCCAGGTCACCTGGCCAAATCTCTCAATCACCAGAGACTGGAGGCAGCTGTTAATGAACCCATACTGGAAAGAAAACACTTAAGCTGGTCACCACTGTTCTCATCAGATTTGTACCTCCATTTATAGAAATCAACAAAAACAGTAAAGAATAAAGTTTCATATGTGCATTCCCTTAAAAAAAATACAATCCGAAAGCATTGAGTCACACAATCTAAAATTATGTTACAACAATGTTACATCTTGGGAAAACTATAACAATGATACTTTGTCATTAGTAATCCCCACTAGGTTTTGTTAGACAACTCTTTAATTTGTCAAAGAAGAAAGACATACTCACCATGTCTGTGATGTTATTCTACTCAGTTATTCAAACACAATGGTGCAAATCTAGAAATTGATTTTATACTGCTCTCTCTCTCGCTCTGTCTCTCTCTCTCTCTCTCTCCATCATCGTCGTGGGGGAAGGGGGTGAGAGAGGAGACAAACAGAGATGCACAATAACAACAAAAATAATAATAGAAATATCACTGCTTCTATTACTACTACTACTACTACTACTACTATTATTATTATTATTATTATTATTATTATTATTAATAGTGTAGGCCATATTAATTGGGCAGCCCATCACAAAGCTGTCTGAGGATTCCAATGATCTTGAACCTCTTACTCCCATTCACATTGCAATCGTGAACCTACCTTACCACCTGGAATGTTTATGAATGATCTGTAACTGAAAGTAAGGTGTAGACAGGTTCAATATATATCTTTTTATATTTTTTTGTAAAAAGTGGGTTAATGAGTACCTTCCTTGGCTTTAGGGATGAAAAAAATGTAACCAGGAAAATACAAGTCTTGTTCCTAGGGATATCATGTTTGTAGTGGGTACAGACCCCTGCATGTACATACATCTACCAGCAAGTTTCGCTATAATCAGCGTAAACACTTTTTGGCCCATATCTCCCACATACGACATTATACATTCAAAAACTTTATATCCATGCATTTGCTGAAGTAGCTGCAGTAACTCAATTCTTGTTAAGCTAGCTTGTGTGATTTATAATGCTATATCTGGATGCAAAGTTGTGTGTTCAGCTCAAAAAATAACAATGATAACTATGGAATATGGAAGGCCTGACAGACTGTGCTAATATGCCGTTACCATTAGCTACACTGACTGGTTATATTGTCAAGATTAAAACAAATAATGGCTTCAAACCCAGAGGAACTACGTTAGTGACGGCTGCATCCTTGACCTTGTCTCATGTTTGTGGTGGCAATTTGTTTAATAAAGCATACAAAGTATGATCTTGTCTTTCTGTAAGGTTTTATTCAAGTCATCCATGAATGGCCTCAACGCCGTCACACCCCTGTTGGAGCATCATTCTAACACAGTTACACATTCCTGAGTTCTGGGACAGTAAACACACACAGATGATGTGGTGACACGGACGTAAAAAAAACAATGTTACGCTATAGTAAACAGAGACCCGTCAAGCACTAGCGGAAAACGGCCAAAGCTGAAAGCCTGTTTCCCTTAGTTTAGACAGCCCACAAGCTCCTTGATTGGCTCTGCCGTTTCTTGTGTGATTGGCCGTCCCCGCTGTCACTCCATCTTGCTTGCACACCGGTCTGCTAGCCAGGAGTCCTTACTAATCTGCCACTGTAAAAGTTGGTCGTTTGTTCGGCCTGGGTCACGTCAGCTAGAAGCATTGTAATATCAGATGTTTCATTTAATTTCATTTACATTAACGTTTGAATCGGTGTCCATGTGCGTATGTGCGTGTAGTTGACTAACAAGGTGAAACAAAGAATTGGGTGGTAATGTTTTGCTACATGCTTTACAACCAGTCAAACCAAAAAAAGGAACAGTAAACTTAAAAGTAGCAATAGAAAACTAGAATAACTACTAGAAAACACTGAAAGAGTTAGAGTTTTTAAAAAAAAAATACTTGTCTCCCCACCTCTGAAATCAAAATTTCGTCTTTGTGTGGTGAGATGATCATGTCCTAGGCTTCTTGTCTGAAGTCTCAACATCCCGCTGTTTACTTGGACATATAGAGTGTAGTTAGAAACAGGGCTAAAGGTTATATGCATATAATAGCCTTTTAAACAGTTACTTAGGGTTTTACAATGACCAGGTCAAAGGGTTGTATAGGTTATTAAAAATTGCCATTACATGTTACAGTAAACTTAATGTTAGCTATGCGGTCGACTCAGTTGTAGCTGTTGATTAGCCATGAACAAGAAGTTTTTACTCACTAGCTAGCAGGCTAACATCAGTATAGCTAATGCTATAGTAACACTGATTAAAATAAATTTTTAGCCAAAAGAAAGACAAGGCAGTTAAATATAGCTTGCTAACAGACAATATGTAACTTGTATTTAGAGGGCATGGAGAAATCAAAACTCACCTTGAAGAAAACATAAATGCTTTTAGTCCCGTTTAGAACATGGGGTTGTGTTAGTGGTCCTCTTGTGGTTGAATTGAGTATTACAACAAAAAAAAAGGAAAAATAGTCTTGACAAAAAACAAAAAGGATTTAACACTACTGGAGGCTGGTGCAGAAAAAGTCAGACTTGAATTAGTATAAAGTGCTTATCAAGGAATCACAGAAATGTATTCATCATTATACAACACAAGGTTGCGTGATCCAGGATGTTAATGGAGCATGTGTCTGTGATGTTACGCAGACGTGGAATTTTTAGTGTTGCCATCCATATTGTCTGCCCAGAGAATTCACAAGTGTTTTTGTTGCTGCTGTTTACATCCCTCCAGATGCAAATTCTAAAATTGTGTAGACTGTGTGGGGTCACATGACACATGACAAAAGAAATCAATGGTGTTTTTATTGTTTCTGGTGATTTACTCAAACAGATCTCAGAACTGTTTTACCGAGATTCATAGGCATTCCCACCGGTGGAACAAATACACTTGATCATATCTACACAAATATTCCTGACAGCTACAAAGGCCTCCCCCATCCCCATCTTGGTCTAACAAACCTTCTACCATGGTCTGGGTGAATACTTAATTCTGAGGGCTGCTGGGTGTCCATTAATACCTGATGTAGGACACCTACTAAGTAGTTCCAGTGAAACTGCCTGCTTACAGTTCTAAATTGATGTCCTGAAATAAATTGAATGAAAACAAAATCTAGCAAGCTAAATATTTCATAAAACAGAGTGTAGTCCTTCAGTGCCTCATCGTCTAAACACCACAGGCTGGCATATGTAATACACAAACTAGATCTTGATACTGATTTGGGGACAATGACTTGGCTTGATAGTAAATATAATTTGACACAATGTTTAACAACAAGACAAACTAGCTGTTTGTTGGCTGTGCGCAATTTTACTGACTTTGAATCTTGCTAGCAAAACGTCTCGTAGCTGAGGCCACCGCCCAGGAGAACTGCATTCAGATCAGTTTTCTATATTTAAGGAGAAGACTATCCCAGCAGCAACTTCCTAGGCGACTACATTCCAGTGACAAACAACTTTTTCTCTTGATTAATAAACAAGAAACGGAGTGTTGTTATCCTGGCATAACAAAATAGTTCACTTCTGATCTTGAGATAATGGCATTCTAAAAATGTTTGAATCCATGACCGTACATAACAAATTACAGTATTGCTCACATAAATTAGAAGATTTATATGATATATTAAATCATGATTACTACTGATAACTACTACATACTACATATATGTATAAAAAAAAGGTCAAAAGGGCTCATACCAGGAAACTCTATACACTTACCTTTAAATATAATTTACTATAGCCCCTTGCTCAGTTCCTAATATTTATTCAATTGTTGATATAATGGCATAATGACTTATATTTATTTTATGTTATTATTCAACATTTAAATCAATAAGTTTGTTTTGTTTATTTTGAAAATATCTATTTTGTTGTTACTTGTGAGTAACTGATGGTTAAATGTACCCTTAAGTGTGATTCTGTTTTGAAAATGGAGCCTTATTCAAATTGTCGATGGTAAAGCACGTTTGTCACTGTGCGTATCCTACATGTGGTATAAGTAAAGTTGTTTTAAAAACAAAAAAAAGTCTAGTGTCGGATTCTCTTAGCACCGCGGATGTATTTTCCTAAATCCCTATGAATTTTCCTTCAAATCTTTCCTTGGCCTCATGCCGTTGTCCACTGAGATCATGGAATAGTCTTTAGGAAACAACATAGGACTTTTTTTTTTTTTACTGTTCGACCGCAACTGGACTAGACTGACAGCCGGAACACAAGCGGAAAACGAAATAGTTCCTACCCGGACCTTCAATTAGATGCACACTGCAACATGGCGGCCAACATAGAGCAAATTTTCCAAGATTTTATACTGAATAAAATCAGAGAAATTGAAGAGCAGAATGAAGACAAAGCGTACGTCACTGTTGTGTTTTGTATTCGTCTTAGTGATACAATTATATACAATACAATTAGCTAGCTAACGTAACGTTAAGTGAATGGAATTGAACAACAATGATAGTTTTCCATCTTCATCGGCCGGTTACCGCTCTGGTTTCCAAATTTACCATACAAGCTAATGTTAGCTATATATTACGTTATACACGCATGTCTATATTATAAATGCATATTTATAATATATCGGCCGACGGGCTACATCTGTTAACGGTTTTAAGTAGTGCTGGGTGTATGTAAATAAAACACCGGTTGAAAGTATCTCGTCAACAGAGTAAAGCGGTCCTGTTTGCACTTAATGTAATGTTTAAGAACGATAGATTATGTCGAATAAGACAATTTTACAGGTTAACTAGCTAGTTTTCATGCGTTCCTGTCAACGTGCATAAAGTATTTCCCCCTTGCGATAAGGATTATTTCCCTTTCAGAGGAAGGAATACACACATAACGATTCGTGTATGCTTTTAAAAAATTACCAGACAACCTTGAGATATGTTTGCTGCTCCTGAGCAATAACGACATATAATAAACTAAAAAGTCACTTAAAGGTGAGAACTGTTTTGAAAATGAGATAGAGATAACCCACCCTCTTGTTGGGGCAGTCCTCTAAATGCAGTTTCAGATTTAAGAATCAGAATCACTTTAATTGGCAAGGTGTGTGTACACATACAAGAAATCTGAATCGGGTTTCATGTTGCTCTCAATGTACATACACAGGATAAGTATAACTAAAAATGACATATATACATATGTGTACATATATAGATACACACATGCACACGCACACACACACACACACACACACACACACACAGACATATCGTTATAGACATTAGACTATGGTGCAATAACAAATAATGCAAGTAAATAGTAATATCCCCTTGTGTCCTGTGTGTCTATCAGTGCTGCTGAAGAAGTGGGTGCCAGCAGTGAAGTGAGTGTAGCAGAAGAAGCCACTTCACAGAGAAACAAACAGGAAGACTCAAAGGGGACTGGTTCACAAAAGAAACATAAGAAGCACAAAAAACACAAAAGTAAAAAGAAGAGGAGGAACAGAGAGAAGGAGGAAAATGAGAGCAGTTCAGAGTCTGATGCAGAACTGGAGGGAGGAAACAAACAACCAAGGTGAAACTCTAATGGTGAACAGTTGTCAATACTCACAAACTGGTCTTATTCAAACAATTTAACTACACTGTGAATACACTTCCATAGTACCATGAATAAACAGTTGCCATAGACAAAGTGAAATGGTTGCCCACGCTAAAGCTGACAGGGTGTGAACTGCACTGTAAGTTCAACACACGTGAATAGGCTACATACATAGATCACCAAACAATTATACAACAGGGGAATTAAGAAGACAACACATAGAGGTACTTATATAAAGATGTATATAAAAACACAAGCAGCTGCAGCCCACAAACAGACATGCACACAGTACAGCAAAACAAGACTCTTTGCACACTACAAAGTTAAATGTGAAATGAAGTGCTGAGGATGAATTTAGCAGTTTTACAGCCTCGAGGAAGAAGTTGTCCTTAAGTCTTATGGTATGGAAGTTCTGTAGATCTTTCCAGATGGCAGCAGGCTGAACAGGCTGTAGCTGGGTGGGTACTGTTTTTTAGTGTCCTTTCCTTTGGCCTCTACGCAGGCACCTTACCTCACTGATATCACTGATGTCAGGTAGATGAGTGCCAATCTTATGAGCATTTTAATTACTGTAGTGCCCTCCTGTCCTGGGCCTTGCACATCCCATGCCCGTTTGTGATAGTTCCAGTCAGGATACTTTCTATTGCTTCTCTATAAAAATAACAAGGACTTGGCACAGGAGCTTTGTTTTCTTAGGGTTCCTTAAAACAGTAATGTCTGTTCTTTTAAAAAAAAAAAAAAAAAAATATTAGACCACCCTTGTTTCTTCAGTTTCTTGTTCATTTCAATGCCTGGTACAACTAAAGGTTCATTTGTTTGGAGAAATATAATGATAACAACAAAAATAGCCCTTAAGAGTTTAATTTAAGAGCTGATATCTAGTCATTTTCCATGGTTTTCTTGATAATAACCAAAATCACTTAAGTTCTTACATCAATAGCTATGGCATTGTACTGCCAAAAACAGTGCTTTTAGGCTTTCCATGTTTTCTTTTCTGTCTGTTTTAGTCACATGATACACACAGGAGTTAGTACTTGATTGCATAACCATTGTTTTTGATGACTGCAGCCATGCGTCTTGGCATGCTCTCCACCAGCTTCTGACATTGTTCTGCTGTCACAGCAGCCCATTCCTGTTGCAAAAATTAATTCAACAAATTTGCTTTGTTTTTGGGCTTGTCGTTCTCCATTTTGAGTTTGATGATGTTCCACAGGTTTTCAATTGGATTTAGATCTGGTGATTGAGCAGGCCAAGGCATGGTTCAAATGTTCTGGTTCTCCATCCAGGCTTCAACTGATCTTGCCGTGTGGCAAGGGGCATTGTCTTCAAAATCCAGTCATTCGAGGCAGGAAAGAGTTTTATCAGCTGATGGATGAAGACTGTTTTCAAGAGTAGCTCTGTACGTGACCTGGTTCATTCGCCCTTCACACAATTGCATTTGCCCTGTTCCACCCATACTGAAACAACCCCAGATCATCACCGATCCATCCCCATATTTGTAGGGGCAAGACAGTCTGGTTTGTAGGCTTCGCCAGGCTTCCTCCTAACCAGTAAGTTGGCTGGAGTGGGCATCATCTCAAAATTGGATTCATCACTGAAGGGAACCTTAGCCCAATCATCAACAGTCCAATCCTTGTGATCCCTAGCAAAGAGTAACCGGGCATTCCTCTGCCTTTCGTTGATGAAGGGCTTCTTCTGTGCCCTGTGTGACTTCAGACCAGCTTCAAGAAGTCGGTTTCGAACTGTCCTTGCTGAACAAGTCACATTTCTTGACAGTGCCCACTCATTTTTAAGGCCCCCGGAGGTCTGACGATGATTCCTGACACAGGAACGGATGAGTGCACGGTCATCTCGTGGGGTAGAAAGACGTTTCCTGCCTCGACCAGCTAGAAATTTGGTAGTACCATGTTCGCCTTGCTTTTTCTTGGTGTAATGAACGGCTGTCTTGGAGATCTTCAGTTTTTTGGCTACCTGTCTCTCACTCATGCCAATTTCCAGCAGTGCAAAGATGGCTGCCTTTGTGGCTTCACATAATTCTTTTTTTTTAAGGCATTATGTGAGAGCTGACACTTCTGAGTTGTGCTACGGCTTGAATGTAAGCAGGAAACCACTCTAGGCCTTTGCATGTGCAGTGCTGCTTATGACATGAAAGGGCCTCTTATATACCCTGGGAATACAATTAAGCTTAAGCATGTCAAATAGGACATAAAGTATTATGGAATCGGCTGCATTTTGTGTCGTGTTCATTTCATTCTTCAGGTAATATACCTTTAGTGGTACCAGGCATTAAAATGAACAAGAACTTGAAGAAAACAAGGGTGGTCTAATTATTTTTTCCATGACTGTAGAGCCAGAGATTGGTTTATCTGTTTGGAGCTACTGTAGAAACACAGTGGTCCAACATGGTGGACTCTGTAGAAAAGGACTCTTTATTCATTGCAGCCAATCATGAATGATGGGTTGCAGTCTGCCCTTCATCCCTTGTCCTTTGCAACTGCTAACCAGATGGTGATCAGGTGACCAGAGGTGAGGGTGGACTCGATGGTGGTGTAGAATAGCACCATCATAGTGTCACCTCAAGAAGAACATCCTCTGTTGTGCTTTTTTGGTGAGGGAGCTAAGCCTGGCTCTTTTTCCAAAAATAATCTGTAATGCTGTTGCTCTGCTGTCTCACATGAGTGGCAAGCTAAGTTGTAAGTTGTAGAGACGCCCAGGCCTTTGCTGAGGTGGATGAGGTGACGCTGGTGGGCTGGAGCTGGTGGATGGAGTCACAGGGGACAGTGGACTGTCTTTAAATGATGTAAAATATACACACTTTTAATCTTACTAGTTCTGTTTTCTGCTGTGAAGTGAAAGTGGGTGTGACCCTTTCAGAAGCCCTCTTTGGTAGTAAATCTTGACGCTGTTTGAACTGCCTGACATCATGCAACAATGCAATAATCCAGTTAACTGTTCCAGCTGTTCAGAAACAACATACACAGGATGTCTACTTTGGTCTTGAGAAGCTTCAGCCTTTATTCACTGGCAAATTGTTACCTACACTGTTCATTTACTTACATTTACTAACTTCACTGCTCACCTTATCCTCTGCTCCATTGCAGTCACCATCACTCTCTGCCACTTGCTCCCTTTTGCTCAACCACACACTATCTTTAGAAAAAGGAGCTGCTCTATGGTGAAAAATGCCATTACCCCTGTTTAGGGGTGTTTTGGGTTTAGTCCCAGTGTTAAAGGTGAGCCAACATGTACGAAGATTTGTGCACATCATCTCTTTTCAGCCAACTGATGTGTTGGGATCTGCTGTGACAACCTACGTCATCAAGTCCTCCAGGAAGAATCTATTGAAGAATGGGGATTATTTTCTATCTGTTATTATTCTATGAGCCTAAGTCAAAGACTTTTCTAAGTACGCTAATTGCATATTAGACAAAGCATTGTAGGCTAGACAATGTTATACATGCTATAGTGACTTCTATTACCAGTAGCTCAGCTTTTACTTTGTTTTTTATGGTTTTAGACAAATATCTTCCTATACTGGTAGTGTGAGTGTTTGGGTTTATTTTGAAGTCTATATATCATTGTTTACAAAAAAGTTAATAACTGTTTTTCAAATGTGCCTAACTCAGGTTTTATCTTTGCTTCATAGAAGAGGAACACCAGCAGAGGCAAATAAGGAGCAAGGTAAGTCTGTCTCTTATTATTGCATGCAATTTGATGCAGTGTTATACAATTGTGTGTTTTTTAGAGGCAGCTTGTTTTCCATCAGTTATTTGTTGTGGCTGATGTATTCCTTAACAAAAAAATATGTCTGCCTACATTGCCACACTTGCTAAGACCCCCATATCATATAATTGTCAAAATGCAGTCTTTAGGTATACAGTAGTTTCTGTTGTACAAAATATGCTGAGACTGACACAGAGCTACTAAACTGTTTGTCCAGGTGAGGATAATGAGAGTAAGTCCAGATGCCACAAGAGACATTCAACTGGAAAGAGAAAGAAGAAGAAGAGAAGGAAGAAAGGTGAAGAGAACTCATCAGATTCCGACCTCCAATTCGTGTCAAAGCAGAGGGATAGCAAATGTGGTTTAAGCTTATTGCCAAGGCGACGAGAGGAGTTGCCAGATATCATCCCAAAACAGGTAAAAACTCCAAACGACATACAAAAAAAACAACACGTTTTCTTGATAATGTTGACAGAAAATAGTTGACCTAAATTTTCTTAGTATACAGATATATTGCTTTTGAAGGTTCTATTTGTAACTTTCCTGTTGCTCGCGCTGCATACACAGTCCGTAGCTACGAGTGAACATCCTCCTCGGCATTGGCCAAAAGTGACACTAGATACTCTAGACCAGAATTATTCAACTGGTGGCCACATCCAGCCTGCCAAATTTCCATCTGCAGAATGGCCACTAATATATAGATATGAATATTTATATATTTACTGTATAATGAACTGAGTATCTGTTGCAAAATACCTGGAGAAAGGCAGTATTAAGTTATTGTTAATACAGACTGAATATTTCCTACTGTTGAAGCTTTACATTAAGAGCATTTAACTGCCGAAACGTGACAGCGGATCAGTTTGAAATACTGCACTGAGTAATGGAACAAGAATGAGCAGCCACAGTGAGCTGTTGCATGAAGAGCTGTAGGCGACAGGCTGCAAACCTCCAACTTCTCAGCCAATTAACCAAAGTTACTTTCACTGTGGCTGTTCACAGACTTATTCGGTTGTGCAGCAGACGGAATTTCCCCGTTGTGGGACAAATTAAGGAATATCTATGAAGGAATATCTATCTAAAATAAGATTATGGTTGCTCACAGAATGATAGAAGGCCAATTATTGTCTGACTTCTGTATTAAAAAAAGTAATTTTTTCAGAATTATGTCACGTGTAGTATTTTTGCATTTAACTACAGGTGTAAATGGTAAATGGACCTGTACTTGTATAGCCCCTTTCTAGTCTTCCGACCATTAAAAGCGCTTTTACACTACATGCCACATTCGCCTTTTCACACACATTCACACAGCGATGGCAAAGCCCATCGAACAGAAACTAACTCATTCATACACATTCACACACCGATGCACAGCATCGGGAGCAATTTGGGGTTCAGTATCTTGCTCAAGGATACTTCGACATGTGGCAGGAGGAGCCAGGGATTGAACCAACAACCTTCCGATTAGGGGACGACCCACTCTGCCTCTGCAGCACAGCCGCCCATTATGTAATTTGGAAACATATAATTTCTTTGATCTATCTTTCTTGTCCTGTTTTAAACATTAGGTAAGCTCTAAGTTTATGTTTTCTTTGTCAAATAAAACCATTTCCATCAGCAGCAGGATTGGTAATGGAGGTCGTTCACGCAATCCATGTGTTTGACCAGCAGATGGCAGTTGCTGGCTATACAAATTTGTGACAAGCTCTATGAATGGCCAGAGTGGATTTTTCTTTTAAGCCTTAATTATGTCAAGATTGCTAGCTGTTAGGTGTCACAAGCATGATAACTGCATAATAGCATCAAAACGGGTTAAAAATCATCACAGATTCCCATGTTCTGTTCACACTGATCTGTTCACACTGATAAAGTGAAAAATAAAATGATAAAAATGCATTTTGTAAGAAAATGTAAATGTATTTATTTATGTTAGCTAAAATCAACACCATTTGTCATAATACATTAATATCATGGCTCACATTAGCTGGGGAAGTTTTTTGCAAGCATATTATTATGCTTTTCATCCATTTTACTTAATTATTGTAAACTCTGGAGGACTTTTGTCAGGATCCAGTAGGACTGATAACTCGTTTTTTCAGTGATCAGATTGGTTGATGGTGAGGCTGTTTTTTGAAACGTTTTAATTTGATATGATCTTTTATTTATTGAGGACAAGCGGATTGCAAATGCATTGAAACTGTTGGCCAGATCAGGTGTGGGTATATTCAGACAGGTGAAGGCTTTGACTATCAAACTGCAGAATTTTGAGACGCTTTTCTCATTAAAAATGCGAGGAGCCAAGTGGGACAGTATTAATAACTTGTGATTCACAGTTAAAAACTATACATTTCTGATCAGATACAGTCATATCTAGTAATTCCACAGAGGATATTCTTACACCCAGGGTAAATACAAGGTCCTGTGTATGACCACGATTATGTGTTTGTCCACATAAGTTAAAAGAAATCTGTAGCATGAACATTAGTGGAGTCATCAACATGAATATAAAAAATGACACATAGAACAACAACAAGTGTGGATAAAAATGTAGGGAGTTCTGATGAATAGTTGCCAGGTGGCTTTGGGGGGTGATAAATGATTGCAAATATGATTGGATAGAGACTGCCAAGTTTAAAAGTGAAAACTTTAAAGGACTTAAATCCATCAGAAGATACAAGCTCTTCCTAAAAACACTCACTACAATCACTGACACTGGGTTTGACATAGTTCAACAAGCTGACTATAATTATTGGTTTGCAACCAAGTTTCTGTTATAAAAGCATAACATTTACAGATGAAATAAAACTACTCATATTTTACCAGCATTTGGCTGATGCGACTTTCCCACCCTGCCATTGGCACATCAGCTGTTTTTACATTATCATAACATTTACTTTTACCTTAAATATAACCACTTCATGCTTATCCAGCACACAGCCTGTTGTGTTGCAAAATAAAAGGAATAAAAAGTCCCTGTTTATGTAACTATGGCATCTTCTTAGTCTTCACAGCAGAGTTGAAAGCAATCTAGTTAGCAGCTAACTGTTACAAGTCATTGTGGGGGGGTTTGCAAGGTGGACCTGTAGCTTCCAACTTGGCAGCTCCTGAACAGATTTGGAAGACTTCTTGTTTCAGGCTAGACTTCAGCCCGACTCAAAGCTGCTAACTAGCTAGACTCCATCACACACATGTTACCCAATACCCAAAAGGAAACCTTCCTTGAATGGGAACGCTTGGCTAGTAACTCATAGGTGCAAGTACAACAAAATCCTACCCCTGTGCTGCTAAATCCTAGAGGAAACACTCAAATGTTATGTAAGCCACATCAATGATGTTAAAGACTAATGACTTTCTTTCTTCATTGCTTCCCAACAGGACAGTTCCAATAAAGGAAGAGGAGATGATGAAAGACATGGCAGGAGGAGTTGTCGTTCCCGTTCACAATCACATTCCTATTCTCATTCACATTCCTGCCCAGTGAGGAGGAACTCTCGCTCTTGTTCTAGACACCGTCACCGAAGATCTAGGACTCATTCTCGATGCAGTTCACAGCACCACAGGACCAGGTCCAGGTATGAAGGAAAAACCATTAAAAGCTTGGATATTTTCTAAAGCTTTTTCATATCCATGCTGTTTGTGCATTTTATCATTGACATAAACTTAGGATAATGGTGATCTCACTTTTCCAAAAGAAAAAGTAAAATTAAGAAACTATTATTTTTTAACACTTCCTCCAATTCGGTTGTCCAGTTTATGAGATGTGTGCCAGCCACAGTATGTTTTTCTTTGTACCGTTATCACTGATTGTTGGCTATAATCAACACAGTTTGTCTGAATAAATAAGTTATTATCATGGATCACTTTGCTGGCATATCCACTCAGATAGTATTTTCCAAGTGATAACGTTAGTGGACAAGCAAGCCAAGCTTAGCCAGCCAGCTGCAATGCTATGCTGCATGGATCCAGTGCTAGCTGCCCTGCAACGCAAGTGGATTAAATCAGCTCATTAAACCAGACTCCTGGGGTTGTTTGCTAGGTAGGCTAGCTTGGAGTTTACAGTTGTTGGGTTTTTTTTGGGCACTTACAGGTTGCCTTGTTGGCTGGTGTTGCGGGCGGTCAGGTAGGATAACCTTATTCAGCCTGACTGGGTTGTAGCTGGCTAGCTAACCTTAGCTTACTTGCTCGTTTACATTATTACTATCAAAATACTATCTGAATAAATGTATTAAGACAAACTGTTGATTTTTGCTAATAATACATGATGATACAAAGCAAGTTTTGTTAAAGGTCCAGTGTGTAGGATTTATTGGAATCTAGCAGTGAAGTTTCAGTTCGCAACTAACTGAACACCACTGGTGTATTTGACGACCTGATAATGAGAATGGGCTGAAAAGTGAGTATGAGAAACTACGGCTATTTACAATCAGTGTTTGGTTTGTCCGTTCTAAGCTACTGTAGAAACATGTCTTACTCCCTGACACTACAAGTGACACTGGACGTGTGTAGGTAAAAACGTCTTATTTCATGGTAACATCAACCTATTTTCAGGTCATTATACACTAATGAAATTCCATAACAAAATACATCATTGCTGTTTACCAACACAAAAAAGTTTACAACACAGTTGTACATCACCACAATTTTAATCTGCTGGAAACTACAGTTGGTGGTGAATCATAGGGTCACTCATTAAATATGATACTATTTTGATTGTTTGCCCACAATATCGGAAATGACACAATAACTTGTAAACCACTGTGATTTTTATACTTTATCTTGTCATGATATGGCGGATGGTAGCTCCTCAGAGAAGAGAGGGTGTTTGGATGAATCCATGCGGTCCACTCAAGGTCCTTCAAAAGACCTCCAGCTGTCTCAGCTGGCCTCCAGCCCTAACCGAAGAAACATCAAATCAGAGCAACTGACAGAGTCAAGCGCAGAGCTTCAGAGCCCTGACCAAAGTGAAAAGCCATCAGAGAAACAAGAAAAGGAAACAGAGGACACAACACAAAAACTAGGTAGGACCTTTTTTGTACGTGACATTGTACTTAGCTTAGCATTGTAAACTATACACAAAGATACAGGGTCATTTAATTGCCATTTTATAGTTCCCTTTATGCTAAACATTTGGGTGATTTTTTGTTATTAAAAAGATGTAAACTTAATCTCTCTACGAAACATGTAACATGAAACAATATTTTCAGAAAACCTTAATGCATAGTTATGTTTTCTATCATAAATTTAAAAAATGAAAATGAAAACGTCATTATGGCATGTGCAAAATATTGGGCATCCTATGGCTTCTTTTTAGCTCCTTAGGTCTGAGTCATTGTCGTTAGAAAGCGTCAGTGTTGAACTGCTGCCAGTTTCAAAACTTTACAAACACTCAGTCTTCAAACCTTGTACGAACCTTCAGCAATTATGAATTTTTCTGAACAGTTGGAAAGACAAGACAAATTAAGAGAGGGCAGTTTAGGGCAGCTGTGGAGGTCAGGGGGAGATCTGGAAGATCAAGAAAACTCTTGGAGAGAACTCCTGCTCAAAAAGGCAAATCAAAACTTGAATACACATCATAAAATCCAACGTCATTTGTATACAACAGAACCTCTACAGAGCTCTGATATGTTTTGGAAACAATAGCTGTGGACTGAAATTAATGAAATTAAAAAAGGAGCAGCATTCCAAAAAAGAAAAGAGTTCTATCATGCTTTGGGGTTGTGTAGCAGGCAGTGGCACAGGAAACATTGCACAGGTAGAGGGAAGATTGGATTCCATTAAATACCAGCACATTCTGGAAGCAAACACCAGATATAAAAGAGCTGAAGCTGAAAAGAGGATGGCCTCTACAACAGGATAATGATCCTCAACATACCTCAAAATCCACCATGATCTACCTCAAAAGATAAAAGTTGAAGGTTTTTTCAATGGCCCTGACAGTCCCCTGCTTTTAATTTAATATCTGTGGATAGATCTTAAAAGAGCTGTGCATGCAATACGGCCCAAGAATATTACAGAACTAGAAGCCTTTTGAATGGAAGAATTGGAATAAATATACCAAAATACAACTGACAGACTTTTAGCTGGCTACAAAAAGCCTTTGCAAGCTGTATATCTACAATAGGAACTGTTACTAAGTAATGACAATGTACTTTTGCGCTTGATTTTGTTTTTATTATTATTATTTTTTTCTTAATGTTTGTTGAAAATATAACATTTTATCTTCCATATCCTAGAAAGCATGAGTTTACATCTTTTCAATTAAAAACAAATCTAAAAAATATTTATTTATGTATAGTCTTCCTGTCCTGCCCCGCACATATCCAATCCCAGTTTTTGATTTTTCCAGTCAGGATGCTTTCTGTTGAGGTACAAGGTAATTTTTTTTTTATCATTAACCCAAACAAAAAGAAAGTTGCAGTCCTTCCTTCATGCTACGCACACATAGAGCATATCAGACAATTATGTCTGGATAACAAAATGAAAAAAAAAAAACAATACATAAAGTTATTTATATACATACACATATACACACAGGAAATATTTCTGGAGTGACATTTTTTTATTTGCATCCGGGAGAATGTAATCAGCAGCAACAAAAGACATTGATGATAATATGGTTTCATCCTCACATAGAAAGAAATCGTGTCCATCCACTTTGGCTGCGTTCAAGCACCAAGCATCATCGATGAAAACACAGAGTCTGCCTCCTCTCGTCCTGTGCTCTGTCAGCTCAGAACACAGTCTGCCGGTGGAGTGCTGATCTGGGATGTCGATAAGGAGGTCTGTGTAAAGATGAAGTCAGAACAGTCTCTGATTTCCCATTGTTTGGCCTGACCAAACATAAGCCAGGAGCAACCTCAAGTCCAAGCTGGGCCAGTATGGCTCCTATCCCAGCTGTCTTACCTCTCCTCTTGGAGCGACAGCAACAGTGGGCAGCTCCTGCCGATGTGGCTGGGTGGATCATCTCAAAGTCAAGTTTAATTGGATTTAAAATCAAATCCAATTAAACATTGTTCAATGATGTTTTAGCAATAAAGCTGAAAACCATGACAGGTTCTCTCTGACTGGTTGATTCCCAGGAACCTAAAACTGTTCATCTGCTCCAACCTCAGCTCCACTGACGTAGGTGTCTTTGCTTCCTTTTTCCTAAAAGCCTACTCAACCAAGGAGTTGATTGTTGATGAGCACACAGCCCTGAGGAGCTCGGATGTTGTGCACTAAATGGTAAATGGTAAATAGACCTGTACTTGTATAGCGCCTTTCTAGTCTTCCGACCACTCAAAGCGCTTTTACACTACGTGCCACATTCGCCCTTTCACAGACATTCACACACCGATGCACAGCATCTGGAGCGATTTTGGGGTTCAGTATCTTGCTCAAGGATACTTCGACATGTGACAGGAGGAGCCAGGGATCGAACCACCAACCTTCCGATTAGGGGACGACCTGCTTTGAGCCACAGCTGCCCTAAAGTGATGGAGGGGTGACCACCAACATTCTGCGGTCTGTTTTGTGAAGAAGTCAGATATCCATGTTGCAGAGTGTCATACTCAGGCCCAGTGTGCTGAATCTGGCAGTTTCACAAGAGAGATTTTGTTGAAGGCTTGATTTTAATCAACAAATAGCATTCTGACATTTAAACTGGAGACTTTTTAGATACAATCTTGGTGGCTGCATTGAAGTAGCTGAGAAGACTCTCTTTTGGTATTGATATATGTAAAATAACGTCAGTTAAAACATTGTTTGGCACATTTTTACAAAACCAGGGATGTTATCAAGCCCAGCAGACCAAAAACAAGCATAAAATGTGTTTAGCTTATATGGCAACATGGCCTCACACATGATGGGTGGTTCTTTCTTTTGTAGTCTATGATGTTCTGGATCTCCTGCCAGATATCTTTGGTGTTGTGAGTGTTGAGGTCTCTCTCCAGTCTCTCCTGGTGTCTCCATGCTTTGCCTCCTTGATGCAAGTTTTTAGTTTAGCTCTGGTGTTGCTGTATGTCAGCTGACCTAAAGGCAGATTTTTAAGCACTCGATAAAGGCCTCACCTCTCCATTCATCCAGGCTTTCTGATTTTATTGTCTTTGTGATCACCACATCATCAGCACATTTGCTGATGTATGATGTCACTGATAATGTATATTCCTCAAGATTGGTGTGGTTCCAGTCAAAATAGTCCTAGAGCTGCTTCATCTGTCCACACTTGTACAATTTTTACTGATGGTTTGAGCCTTTGTAGCTGCCAGAAATATTTGTGTAGACATGGTCCAGTGTATTTGGATATCCTATCTCAGGACACTTTTCAAATAGAGCAGGTCTAGACCGAACTCCTAATAACATTATTTACAGAGACCCAACAGTACCACCACGAGCAAGCACTTGGCGACAGGGGCAAGGAAAAACTGCCTTTTAAGATGCAGAAACCTAGGACAGACCCTTCTTCAAATATAATCAAATATTAAATGAGAAATTTCACTTAAAGGACACACACAACACAGACTGTAGGAAAAATAAGGAACAAAAGGCAGAGTGCAAGATCTAGATTTTAATAAGGTGAAATGATTGAACTTGGGCCGTTAACTTTTTTTGGAGTCCCCAACAATCATTCTTTCACTGGGGTAAACACCAGTCAGACATTTGGCTAAAGTTAGGTATTGTTTCCATCTTTATCGCTGCTGTTTTCACACAGCCATCTGTTCCAGAGTAGGTTTGTGTAATTTTTCCCAGCTGGCCATAAGAAACAAGGATGTTTGGGGTCAACAACCAAGACAGCTTGTCTACACTTGAGGTTCTTCTTCTTCATGTTCATTTAAGTCTCTGTTATGAATCTGAAAGGCAGTTTCTGATAAAACTTGCCTAGAGATGGTCGGCCAGGATTGGTTATGCCAGCATCTTTTCCCAATCAGCTCACTGCACACAAACAGGCTGAGGGAGCCACCCCATCAAGGGTAGATTTGGGGTGACAGGGTCCCGATCAACAGTGTCTTAGTAAACATTTCCGAGAGGCTTTTAATTCAGCATGCCTTCCACTTCCACTTGTACGATATGCCTAACTGCAGCTGGGTCAGATTGGATGCACAGGACCACCCTCAGAGCATCCTTCACAGACTTTCTCTCTCTCTCCCAGATTCCGCTAAAGTGTGGACAGCTGGGGGATTGAAACTGAAGCTGTCCTGTGTTTGCCTGAAGTGAAGAACAACACCCAGTAATGAAGGTCCCGAGGATGGGACCAGGTAAGAGGTTATCATTTATGCTCTGGCTTTGTTGCTAGTAGGAGGTTGAGTTGTGCTTTCCACTGTGCTTTCTGACTACCTAATGGGAAAAGAATCGAGTCTCAGCGATATTGTGATGACAACCTAGCTCAGGCCAGGTCACATAATATCCTTGGAATGAAATTTTGATCTCTTGTTCAGTTCTTAAGAGAGGTGGCTGGGGTAACAGGATTTGTTTGCCAACAAAGTAGGGAATGTGAGATAACTTCCAGAACTTGGGAGGCATATAGCAGTTGTCCATGTTGACCATTTCACTGAAGGAGTCAAGGATGTGGAGGGCATACTGGTCATGTTTGGATTGTGTACTTCTCATTACAGTGAAGAAAGGAATCCAATTGCCATGACAAATGCTTTTGTAAAACAGTAGCTGGACAGGCATGGTCCATCATCAGCAGTACTTGAATGCATTCTCTACTTGGTATTTTCTTGGCAGGTCCCCTCCTGTGATATAAGGAGAGCTACTGTGGCTCCTTTCACTTGCAGAACATCTTGTCTGATGGTTTGAAGACCAAAGATCTGAGTCACACTTAAGTTTCAGATGTTTAGCAGCTGCAGGTAGAATTACAGATGTGTCTGAACCATCAGACACCATTCCAGTGCCATGGAATGGCGCCGGCGACAACGGCAGCCTGTCATGGCAGCTCCTATCATTGTTGTAGTTTTAGTGTGTTTTCAGTGTTTTTAGCCGTTGTTTTTTGCTATTTTTAACTGTTTTCTTACTTTCTTACTACTTTGTTCACGTCGCC